ATCGCTCTGTCCCAGCCCATGGCGTCCGAGGCCGGGTGGGCGCCCGCCCTGTGGAGGGCCTGCAGTGCGCTGATGGCCGCCTTCTTCGCGCTGGCGGCCTTGGTGCAGGTCAGCCCCAGGCCCCGGAGGCGGGCGGCGGGCTGGAGGCGGTGGGAGAGGGGCCTGCGGGTCCCACAGGGCGCGGGCTCCAGGCTCTGTGCCGGGCCGGCCTGAGCTCAGGTGGAGGACAGGCATTGGGTGCTGTGCTTCGGGAACCCCCTGGCCTCCCCCACCTAAGTCACGGGGGTGTGTGTTCCTATGACCGCATCCCACCCCTCCCTTGCTCACATGCTGGAAGGAGCTGGATCAGTGTCACTTTGAAGGGACCTGAGCAGAAGCGGCCGGCGCCTTTCTCAGTATCCGGCCAGTGGATGAGACTGAACCAATTCAGGACCCGGGAACAAACCCTTAGACTTAGAGCCTGACGAGGCCTTCGTGTCCCCACAGGCCCCTCCTCATGCTCTCCTGGTTCCTTGAGACGGGCGGGTCCCGGAACAATACTCCCAGGGGCTCTCCGTGTCAGAGTTCCTTTGCGGATCTTCACAAAAATGTGTGGGCTGGAGGTGCAGGCCACCTGCTGTGCTCAGCCAGAAGCCCCTTCGCCCATCTGCTCTGCTCGGCCTTGTCTTCCTCCCGTTTAGTGTCCTCGGTGCCCACTGGGCGGCTGTGGCCGCGTCTGCCAGGTAACAAATGACTGAGACTGGAACCTGACAGTGTGTCTGATGTTTTGGATTCCAGGTGAATGATCCAGACGCAGAACTCTGGGTGGTGAGTATGAGCTGCGGTCCCCCGTCTGAAAGCGCTGTGGACTGCAGCGAACACACAGTATTGTCCATTTGCCACCACCCCCTCACGTTGTGTACTTACAGACTAGAAATCAAATCCTTTGTCAGCTCTTTCCCCTAAAATATCAGGGGGAAATGGGTCCGAGTGATAAGGTACGGGGTGTGTGAACTCAGAATTTCCCACAGACATCGGGGTCTTCCAGCAGTATTCCCTTTGAATGAAATGGTCCCTACTTCATCTTACTCATGAGGCATACTTGTATCAAGAAGCACGCAGGTGAAAATAATAGAAAACCTGACTAGCATCAGGTTATAAAAATACAGAATTTCTCACTGAAAAGAAGTGCAGAGGCAGCTACTTAACGGTCAACGGCATCATCAGGGGCTTGGGCTTTCTCTTTTGTCTGCTGCTCCTCAATGTGTGCTCTAGCCTCTCATGTTTACAGAATGGCTGCTGCGGCTCCCACATCTCATCCCCAGACAAGAGCATCCCATGTAGGAAGCAGCAAGGCAAGAGCAAAAGGAGTGTTTGTTCTGTGCTTTCTGCCCTTCGATGCGGGAAGAAATGTTTCCCAAGGCTATTGAGTTTGTACACACAAATATGGCTTATGGGCTGGGATCCATTCGGATCAGTCAGCATCCAGGCCTGTTGGTTGTTAAGTACTTTAAGCATCAGCTTGGCCCCTAGACTTTCCATTTCAGTGCTGGAATGTGACCACCCTTTGCTGCCAAAAGGGGCTGGGAAAACAAGCAGGCTTTTCCTTTCTTCCAGTGGCCAGGGGACAAGGGAGGCAGTATCAGGAATGACTGCCAAGGGACTCAATGACGATATGCTGAGTTAAACTGGATATTGTAAAATAATATTACGATACCTTAGTTTAAAACATCCACCAACAGAAAAAAGACTGTTAAGATGGGTTCTACTGAGTTATTATTTATATTGTGCATTGTTTTTACTTGTTACTAAAAACAATTATTTTTAGTCTCTCTGCCCTCCAAAAATTATCTCATTCAAGATAGAGAAAATAATTTAAATAAGGATTGACATGGCACAATGGCCATGGGAAACCATTACTTAATTTTAAGGGTTATTTTGTTCACATGTTTACAATATACTGAAATAAGATCTTACGTTACTCTGTTAGTCACAAAAACGTGATATATTTGAGTGCACATTTTAAAAATCTCTGCCAAACATTTCTTACAGAAAGCACAAAGAAATACTGTACAGCCTGTGTGTGTTAAATTTCTCTCCCTCTCAGTGGCTAAGCCTTGAGGTTTTGCAGAGTGGGGAACCAACCCCTCACTGCTCTAAGTGTGGTCTTTGGAACAGCAGCACCTCCTCCCCTGGGAGCTTATTAGAGAAGCAGAATCTTGGGCCCGACCCCAAAACTTAGAATCAGACCTACATTTTAATAAGATTTCCAGTAATTCACATGCACATTAAAGTAGGGGAAGCACTGGTCTAGCCCTCAGGAGCATGACTGCCCACCTGTGAGAGATGACCTGATTCCACATTGGCTATTACACCAGTAATCATTAAGGAGGGAGTAGGAAAGACAAACAGAATCGGTATAATCTAGACCAGTTGTTCTCAACCTTCCTAATGCCACAACCCTTGAATACAGTTCCTCATGTTGTGGTGACCCCCAATTTCATTGTTACAAATTGAACATAATTAAAGCATAGTGATTAATCACAAAAACAATATGTATGTGTTTTCCGATGGTCTTAGGCGACCCCTGTGAAAGGGTCGTTCGACCCCCAAAGGGGTCGCGACCCACAGGTTGAGAACCACTGATCTAGACACTCTCTCTCCAGGGTCAAGACAGACATGTTTTCAGTGTCAGCAAATCACTTAAAAACGTACAGCTCTGACAACTTCTAAATAAACTAAACGTTCTGATGTAAGGATCGCAATTAATGTAGTGAAGCAACTACGTTTCTGGGAAAACCCATGTTTTTATAGACCCACCACCTCCTTACTTGTCCTGGGAAAGACCACGTTTCTTATACACCCACCATCTCCTTACTTGCCCTCTTTTGGCAGCACACATGCAGTAGCAGGTCTGGCTAGTCTGCTTGCTATGAATGAGGCTTGCAGATAGGGCCCCTTCAGGGCCCGTCTTCCAAACTGCAAACCAACTTATCATCAGTTTCTAAGATGAAGAGCCTGGTCTTGTTGGGCACATCTGATCGGCCGTTAGGAAACTTTCTGTGGACTCACTTGCAGAGATGGAATGTTGGGCTGGATGGTCCATGGTGCCAGACCCAGCAGGGCCACCGAGCTGATTATGGCTCCTCCTGCCCTACTTGTCAAAGAGCATTTTCTTTAATGCAAGTGGGGAAGGGCCATTTGGGCATGGATGTTGCTTGGGAGAGATTAGGAGGTCAGTGTGTCTTGAGACCCAGACTCTGCTCAATGCTAGAGCTCAAAAATGAATAAACCTTTCCTGGTATTGCCTACGATCTAGGAGGAAGGCAGATAACATTACAACCTGACATGGTAAGTGCCATAAAAACAGAGGTTACCGCTGAAACCTACAGTAAATCCTGGACTGTGATGGCCACTGATGTCTTTCTTGACTTCAGTACTTCTGAACATCTATGTTGGACATACTTCTTAACCCACGTGACTTCCTCTCTTTGTGCTAACAGGTTGCGTATATGATTCCTGCAGTGCTGACCTTGCTTGTTGGACTTAACCCTCTTGTCACAGGTATGAACCTTAGATACTGAGTAGAGATACTTAAAAAAAAATGCTTGTTAATGAATGAATGAAAAAAAAACAAGAGGTTTACCATATATTTATTCTGTAACCTGCTTCTTGTAATATATATATATATATATCCCAAGTGGGTATACATGTAAAAAATTCACTCAAAATAGCTGGTTTGTATTGGCCAAAGCAGAGGTTCTCAACCTGTGGGTCGCGACCCCTTTGGGGGTCGAACAACCCTTTCACGGGTCGCCTAAGACCACCGGAAAACACATATATAATTACATATTGTTTTTGTGATTAATCACTATGCTTTAATTATGTTCAATTTGTAACAATGAATATACATCCTGCGTATCAGATATTTACATGACGATTCATAACAGTAGCAAAATTACAGTTATAAAGTAGCAACAAAAATAATTTTATGGTTGGGGGTCACCACAACATGAGGAACTATATTAAAGGGTCGCGGCATTAGGAAGGTTGAGAACCACTGGCCCAAAGGGTACCTTCCTCAATTATGGGCAAAATGTAGCTGCTTTGCCTTTGTTAAAAAATATATATATTTTTATTGATTCCAGAGAGGAAGGGAGAGGGAGAGATAGAAACATCAATGATGAGAATCATTGATCAGCTGCCTCCTGCACGCCCCTCACTGGGGATCAAGCCCAAAACCCGGGCATGTGCCCTTGACCGGAATTGAACCTGGGACCTTTCAGTCCGCAGGCCAATGCTCTATCCACTGAGCCAAACTGGCTAGGGCTGCTTTGCCTTTTATGGCCCTAAAAATTCTCAACAAACCTTAAGTTGGACAATTTTATACTATAAAGCAGTGCCTTAGAAAAAATACATTATTTACTATCATTTTCTTATTAATGGGGAATATTATCCTGCAAGTTGTTTTTTACTTTCTTTAAAACGGCTTCTACTAGTAGGGCTAGTTGTCAGGGCCTCAGAATAAAGACTGAGTCCCACCTGGGTGGGGAAAACTCCTGTCCCCAGGTGCATGGACTCCTTGTATAGGCCCCTAGGGCTCTGTCTATATCTTTAAAGTGTGTTAGGGCTCCAGTCATTGCAAGCAAGGAAAACAACTAAACTCAAATGGGCTCCAAGCTAAAAAGTAGATGTACTGGGATACTTTACTGACAAGGCAAAGGGTGCTGGCTTCAGGCACTGGGCTCAGAATTTAAACTTCTCTACTCTCAGTTCCATCAATTGCACTGACTTCAGTCTTGGGCTCCAGATGGTAGCCGACAGCGCCAAGTTCACGTCTTCACTACACTAAGTCCCACAGAAGATAGAACCAATTTCCCTGATGTCGTCACAGGAGTCTCAAGAATTGAGGTGTTGGTCCTGATTTGTCATCTGTTGATTCTGAGCTAAACTTCTGTCAATAACGAATGAAACACATTGATTGACCTAGCTTAGCTCCACGTGGCCGGGTGTGTGGGCAGGGTGGATTTTCAAGGAAAAGAAGGGCAGTTATCACAGGAAAAGGAGTGCTGGACAACAGAAATAATAAATGCCCACCTGAGTTTATAATTACGGCTTTAACTTCCATGATGTCCCTCAAAACCAAACCAAACCAAACCCAGCCTATCCCGAGTGCTTTGTCTGAAAGCAAACAACAGCGAAGCACACACCGACCATTTTTCTCTGGAAGGTGATTCCGTGATTTGCTTTCAGGTAACCTCATTTGGAAGAGCGTCTCCGCAGTACAAGTGTTCTTCTGCGTGGTGTGGGCTGCCAGCTTGGCATACCACCTCATGCTTCATGCACAGTGGAACGTCTTACACGAGGAAGAAGGCAGGTGAGCACTGACCTTTGCTCTCTGGGAGAGGTGGGAAGGAGGAAACTTTCTGATCCTTCTCAACACCTTATCTGTGCATGTCTCCACCTACACCATGAAAAGCAGGGACAGGGTCATCGCCATTACAAGCTGAAGAAACTGAAGAAATGTTGGAATCAGCACTCACACCCAGCACCATCTAGCCCACTCCGTGATCACTTCCCCAGGCAGCACTGCATATTACATTACCGTCAGGCAGTGGACCTTGGCCCCTTACAATGAGCAAAGATAACAGTCCAGTCTAATCAGGTGAAAACTCCATCAGCACTGATTCAGTTCGGGGCCAAGCCAGAATCTTATCTACAGGTGTGATCAGCCACCTCAGAGGTCAGCCTGGTTCAGCTTGGCCCCGGCATATCTCCTGTCATCTCCCTGTCACGGACATTCATTCTTATCTGCTCTCCCTTTGCTGCCTCCCACCCTAGACATCCTGGCCTAATAGCCGGATTCCTTTACTTTTTATCCCATTGCTAACATCTGCAATACAAAAATTTAAAGACCTTTGAGTATCACTGGTGAGGTACTGCTACGTTGTAGCTCCTAGTCCTTCGAAAGTTGGATCAGGTTGGGTCAATGGGAATGTAAACCAAATGCGTTGAGTCACCTCCACCCACTTGATGCCTACAAGGTATGGTGAACTCAAAGTGGGGCTTCCAGTGGTACTGTGGCCAAACACAATTATTTTCTACTCTATGAAAAAAGTAAGTGCTTTTAACATATATTTCTAGCATTATTCGGGCTCACTACAAATCATTTATCTTCATGAAGATGTGGCCTGATCTCTGCAACATATGCTCAAACCATCTGTGCTCAACCTAACACCCAGCACTCGAAGACAATGTAAAAAGAATACCTGATCAAGTTGAAATTTTCTTGGTTGTAGTATTCCACCCAGTGACATGAAGTGATTTAGCTGTGTTTCTGTTTTATTGGTTTTGTTGTTGTTCACTTCTACGTTGGGAAACAGTCATGGAGTTCATATCTGCTTTATAAAATGGAATTTATTTTTACATAGGGATTTAACAGAGAGAAAAGTAATTTTTAAATCATACCAGACTTGAAAAATATTCTATAGATGCTATATCTTGGGGGAAGCCATTCAATAATCAGAAATCACGTGTCATGGAGATAATGGGGTGATATGCATCTCCCTTGCGGCCATGTCACAAAGATGAAATGTATGCTATTTTATAGGGAGCTGTTTGGTCTGGTGATTATCGCAGCATGGATGGGTCTATGCCACAGTTCATCAAAGTAAGTTTTCAAATCAGATGTGTTCAAGGTTGATCAGTTCAAGTAGGTTAGTGAGAATATTGAAACACAAATAAACACAGTAATCTTTTGAAATAAAAATGTCCTTCCCTAAGGAAAGCTAATAGTTGAGTCAAAGTTTCATGATCATTAATCATGAATACCAGTTTCCTACATGGCCCAGTGTAATCACATGGAGTTGCCAGCATAAAGGTGTTCTTCAGGAAGAAGGAAAAATGATCTCAGAGGGAAGCTTGGAGATTTAGGAAAGAATGCAGAGCACATTTTTAAAAAGTGCGAGTATATATAAATGAATATTAACTTTATAAAACAATAATAATGATATTTTGTGGGCTTAAACATATAAAGAATAAAAATGCATGACAAGCATAGCATATGTTAGAAGGGGATAAATGAAGGTACTGTGTTCTAAGATCCTTAAATTATCTAGAAAGTAGTACCAATTTATATTAGACTTTGATAAGTCAAGAATTCATGTGGTAATCCTTAGGGTAACCACTAGAAGAAAAGAATGATTGTAGAGGGCAGGAAAAGAGAAGGGAAAAGGATAGAACAGATGGGAAAATAGGAAGCAGATGTTTAGAGAAACCCAAGTATATGAGAAGTCACGTTAAATGTAAATGTTCCAAATATTCCAATTAAGAGTTCAAGATTTTCAAAGTGGATAAAAAGATTAAAAACCCACTAAACACTGCTTATAAAATTCACCCCTTAAGTATATAGATACAGAAAGATTGAAAGTTAAAAGATGGAAAAAATACACTATCCAAATACCAATCAAATGAAAGTTAGTACATCAATTTTAAAAGTAGACTTTAAGGGCATTACAGAAAAAGGACTTTTTGCTGATTAATATTTTTTATTTTAAAATATTCAAACATATACAAAATCAGAGAGATTAATAAATAGTGAATTAGATGTACCTATCAACTAGCTTAAATGATTTTCAATATATGTCCAGTCTTGTTTCATCTATATCACTGTCCTCTCCACACTTACCTTGAAATAAATCTGAGACATATTGTTTTATCTGTAAATATTTCAGTATGTATCCTTAAAAGCACTTAAAAAAAAAACCACTCTACCATCATCACACACAAAAATTAAAAAAATAATTCTTCAAAACTGAGTTTTCCATTCAATGTTTATATTTCCCCAACTGTCCTGTAAATGCCTGCTCCTCTGTGCTCTATATTTCCAATAAATTGGTGATTAGATCTAGAGGCCTGGCCAGATTCTGGTATTATTACTATTACTACTAAGCAAAACTACTTCATGGGTGGTATTATGTACTTCCATCATAATATACATAATGCCTAGCTGTTTCTTTGTAATGTTAATAGTCTTTGTGATTATTGCCTAAGCCCATTAATTCGAGTTGCAAATACTGCTATTCTAATTATACCATTCCTTGATTATTAGTTGGAAAACTTCTATAAAGAGAAACTTCCACTTATCAATTCTTTGAGATATAGCGCATAAGAGGAAAAGGAAAAAAAGGAGTTCTTAATTTACCAGTTATCAAAATAATGAGTCTTTCATGCCTGAGCATCTTCCAATAGTGACCAATGTTCTGTTAGTAGTGTCATTATAAAGTCATGGGTTTCAACATAGTTTATGTTTTTTCAGTCCATGGAAGTTATCAAGTTATTGATGCTTTAGCTGTCCATCTTCAACCAGTGGCACTTATTCAGGTTTGGATCCTGAGTTCTTTTTGACATAATCATAGTAATTTTTGCTTTTTGGTATGACAAAATGTTCCAAGATAATGTTGTACATTTTAAGCCCCAGACCTGGGACCAACCATTCCAAAAAAGCCCTGGTTATTTTTGGTAGGTAATGGTATTTAGAGGTCACAATCCAGGCATAAGCAGTGCTTGTTGCTACTGGATTGGTTGGTTGTTCTTTTTAGTGGACAGAGCTAGGAAATTCTCGTCTATGTGTAATGTATATGTATTATACATATAAAGATAATCTATAATAATAAAAGCATAATATGCAAATCATCCGAATGACTGAATAGCAGAACGACGGTCCAGACAACCCTCTGGACAACCACGCTATGACACGCACTGGTGCCAGGCCTGCCAAGGCAGGTGCAATGCGATTGGTCGGGGGACCCTGCCATAGCCCCACGATTGCCCTGCAGAGTGAGGCACAGGCCGCCAGCAGGGCAATCGATGGCGGGGGGAGCTCCGTGATTGCCCCAAAGAGGGAGGTGCAGGCCACCCTCTGCGCGTTGATCAATCTTGGAGCCCTGACCAGGTGGGTGGAGCCTCCCTCTGCTGGGCGATTGATCATGGAGCAGAGGCCTAGGCCACCAGGCCCAGGCTATCTGGCCTGGCCGGCGTGCTGCAGCAGTGGCAGGGACTCCCTCTGAGCGTGATCATCTGGGGACCCTGCAGAGGGAGGCCCAGGACACCCGGCCAGTATCCATAGGGGGGAGACCCAGGCCCAGCCAAGCAATCGCACCTGATGCCTGTCACCACAGAGGAAGGCGACGGATGGCGGGGGGAGGGAGGACAGCACTGTACAGATGGCAAGCAGTGGCAACGATGGGGACAGGTCCAGCTGCCAGCAGCCAGGGGAAGGAAAGCCCCGATAGGCCCTGATCGCTGCCCAGGCCTAGGGACCCTACCTGAGGGGTCCCGGATTGTGAGAGGGCGTAGGCAGGGCTGAGGGACACTCCCCCGCCCCACTACACACACACTCCTGTGCAGGAATTTTGTGCACCAGGCCTCTAGTTTTACATATATACTTAAAAATATCTTATGTGTTCCTATTAATCCCAGCAATTCAAATTCAAGAACACAGATTTTCATTTAACCTCATCAGCAATCTTACATCTATATTTCCTTTTAATCATGTCAAAAAATTTCATCTCAACTAAAATACAGAAAAACTTCCTGAATAATCAATGGAAAACTCGCAGGAGAGAACCCTAACACCTGAGGACTGAAAAAGGAGATCACATAGAGACTATTCTAAAAAAAAATCTCATCTCAATATCCTCAACATAACTCATTTGACTTAACCCACAATACAAACACAACCTCAGAATAACAATATGATTACTAAAGATTTTTTTGGAGTATTTTTGTTTTGTTTTGAAACAGCCCTCTAAGGGATGTATATTCAAATTGCTTGAGATAGTTACTCTATGTACTAACCCTAACAAGGGAATACAGTTAATTTCACTTTCATTTCTAGGGATAACTTTATTAAAAATATATTTTGTTTATAATATAAAGTATCTACATAGTCCCAGAGTCAAATCTACAAAACAAAGTATATTCAAAGACCTCTAGCTTCTTAGTTCCCCAACCCTATACTCTCCTTTTGTCTACAGGTAAAACTTTTTTTCAATTTGATGGTTTATCCTTCCATGGTTTCTTAATGGAGCAAATATGTGCATTTATTTGTATTACTGCTTATCTTAGAGAATTATACAATGTCCTCTCTGATTTTTCCATCACTATATGCTAAAGATCACTCAGTAGTATATAGACTTTCCTTATCTGCTGATAGGTCCAGAGTATCCAATATTTTGCTGTTAAATAGAATTCTAAGAGTATATTGTCAAAATTTTGAATTTTTATTAATTACTAGAGGCCCGATGCACAAAAATTGCCCTCAGCCCGGCCTGTGCCCTCTCTTAGTCTGGGACTTCTCAGGGGATGTCCACCTGCTGGCTTAGGCCTGCTCCCTGGGGGATCAGGCCTAAGCTGGCAGTCAGACATCCCTCTGGCAGCCCGGGAGCCCTCGGGGGATGTCCCCTTGAAAGCAGGGAGCAGGCCTAAGCTGCAGTCGGATATCCTTAGTGCTGCTGAGGAAGCGGGAGTGGCTCCTGCCACCACCACTGTGCTGGCAACCATCAGCCTGGCTTGTGGCTGAGCAGAGCTCCCCCATGTGGGAGCACACTGACCACCAGAGAGCAGCTCCTGCATTGAGTGTCTGCCCCCTCGGGTCAGTGTGGGTCATAGTGACCAGTCATTCCCAGTCATTCTGTTAGGGTCAATTTGCATATTACCCTTTTATTATATAGGATAGAGGCCTGGTGCACGGGTGGGGGCCGGCTGGTTTGCCCTGAAGGGTGTCCCGGATCAGGGTGGGGGTCCTGCTGGGGTGCCTGGCCAGACTGGGTGAGGGGCTGATGGCTGTTTGCAGACTGGTCAAGCCCCCCAGTGGGAACCCTCACCTCATGGGGGTGTGGCCAGTCTGGGTGAGGGGCTGAGGGCTGTTTTCAGGCTGCCCACAGCCCCTTCAGAGTGGGGGTGTCCCCCTGGGGTGCCTGGACAGCCTGGGTGAGGAGCTTATGGCCGCTTTCAGGGTGGCCACATCCCCCAGTGACCCAAGCTCCCAGCCTCTCCTTTTTTTTGCGCCCCCTGGGATTTATTTATCTTCTATAATTGAAACTCTGCTGGGGGCAACCAAGCCTCCTGCTCGCTCCAGCTCCGTGGCCGCTGCCATCTTAATTGGGTTAATTTGCATACTCACTCCTGATTGGCTTGTGGGTGTGACTTGAGCATAGCAGAGGGTTGGTTAATTTGCATGTTTCTCTTTTATTATATAAGATCGTTTAGAAATAGGTAGTTTTATTTATTTTTTAAACACATGTTTATTGATTTCAGAGAGGAAGGGATAGAAACATCAATGAGAGAGAAACATTGATAGGCTACCTCCTGCACACCCCCTACTGGAGATTGAGCCTGCCACCCAGGCATGTGCCCTTGACTGGAATCAAACCCAGGAACCTTCAGTCCACATGCCGACGCTCTATCCACTGAGCCAAACCAGTTAGAGTGAGAAATGGGTAGTTTTAATTTGCATTATGAGCAAAAGTGAGCATATTTGCATTTGATTAAGAGCCATTTGCATTTTTCATATAAAATATTGGTTCATCTCTGAGAAATATAGGTTTAATCTCTAAAGTTGTTATTCTCTATTTTTAGAAGCTCTTTATATACTATCGCTATTAACATTTTGTGATATAAGCTGGAAGTTTTTCTTTTGCAGTCTCTTATCATCCTTTTACTTTGCCATGAAAATGCTTTGCTTTTAAAGTAACCAAATATATCAATCGTTCCCCTTATTGCTTTTGGATTTGGAGTCATAGGAAATCTTTCTTTCTTCTAAAGTATAGTAAATTTTCTTCTAATACATGTATAGTTTGATTTTTACATTTAAATCTTTGATCTAAAGTGTCCCAAAAAGTATATACACACTGAGTTATTATAAAGTCACTGTTTATTAATATACAGTTCATTTTCTAGACTCTATAGCAGCAGTTCTCAACCTGGGGGTCGAACGACGCTTTCACAGGGTCGCCTAAGACCATCGGAAAACACATATATAATTACATACTGTTTTTGTGATTAATCACTATGCTTTAATTATGTTCAATTTGTAACAAGGAAATTGGGGGTCACCACATGAGGAACTGTATTAAAGGGTTGTGGCATTAGGAAGGTTGAGAACCACTGCTCTATAGAAATGAATAATTGTTTTTGTCAATGCCTATTTTCAAACTGATGACCATTCTGGTCCAGGCACTGCTGATAATGTGAAGCAAAGGAATAGCAAACATCAAGAATCATTTTGCTCAGTATTTGTGCACCCTCAATTCATCAACTGTTGCTGGTTTTTGTACCATAAACTTTATCCTTTATGTATCTCAATAAAAAAGTCTGGTGAATAAACTTTGTTCAAAGCTTAGTCTGGCTTCATCTAGTATTTCAAATCAGTTAAACCTGAAAAGGAGTGAAAATTAAGTGAGTTATCAGCTGTCAAATGTGTATACATCTTTTTTTTTGGGGGGGGGGGAGACACAGGGTGTTTGAATAATTATAAAAGACAGTGTTTGTACTTCAACTGCATTTTCAAACTTCTAGTAGCATTTTAGGATGAATTTCTTTGTTCAAAGCTTAGTCTGGCTAAAAAGGAAGAAACATCAATTGAGCTATCAGCTGTTAAAGTGTGTGTACATGTTTTGGGGACATGTATTTAGAATTTATCCTAGTGTGATTGTATAAAGAATTGATCCAACATTATCTTTTTTTCCTTTTGGCTATCTGGTGATCTCAACACCACATATTATTTGGATTTAAGATGCCAAAGAAAGACACTTTTTAATGACTAAAAATTCATTAAATCAGGAAGTATAATAAACCATTATATCAGACAGATAATAAGAATTCTAAATTTGTATAAAACTAATAACATAACCTCAAAATAGATAAAAAATTGACAGAATAAAGAGAAACATTGAAAAATTGACAATCATCTTGGGAGACTTTCAGTCACTAATAATACAAGAAAACAAAAATCAATAATGATAGAGACAATTTGAGTTACACAATAAGAAACCACACTTAATGGATGTACACAGAACACTGGCATCAAGAATGACAGAATTCACATTCTTCTCAAATACACATTGAATATTTACAAAAAGATTGGATGTTGAGCCATGAAAGAAGACCCAAAAAATGTAAGAGAATGTTCTTTCACCACAGCTAGAAATTAAGCTAGAAATCATTAACAAATAATTAGATAATTATCGTATATTTGGAAATTAGGAAATACACTTCCAAATAATGTTTGGGTAAAAGAAATTACATGGACTTTAGTAGATACTTTGAACACAATGGAGTACTATATATTAAAATTTGTGTAATGCAGCTAAAAATCATGCTTAGAGAGAAAAATATAGCCTAAACACATATATTTAAAAAACAGAAAAGGGTACAATGAGCTAAGTTTCCAAAAACTTAGGAATTCCCCAATTCAAGAAGTTATAAAAAGAACATCAAATTAAACCTAAAGAAACAAGAAGAAAATAAACATAAATGCAGAAACCAATGAAACATAAAAGAAAGGATTAAGTAGATCCATATTCATTCTCTGAAATGATTTATAACATTAGTAAGCCCTGGCAAAATAATAACAGTGAGAGCAAAGAACAGGCATAAATAACCAATAGCAGGAATGAAAAACAGAACGTTACTATACAGTATAACATACTGCAAAACGCTTAAGTGGGTAGTATGAACAATTTTTTTGCCAATAAGTTTGAAAATGTAGGCAAAAATGGACAACAAATTCATAAAAAAATACAATTTACCAAAAGTGACAGAAGAAGCACTCAGAACAGTCCCATAAATATTAAAGAAATTGAGTCCATAATTAAAATTTTTTCCTAAAAGAAAACTTAGACCAAATGGCCTAACTGGAGAATTCTACCTAACATTTAAGGAAGAAATAACGTCAAACTTCAACAAAGTCTTCCAGAGAACAGTAAAAGAAGAAACACTTTCCAATTCGTTTTATTAGGGCAGAATATTCATGATACTAAAATTGGTAATACAAAAACAAAAGGAAGTTACATGGCAATCTCACGACCACAGATGGAAAAATGTTAAACAAAACATTAACAAATTATATCTTGCAATATATAACTCAACCACCACGTTGTGTTTATTCTCGGAATACAGATGGTTTTAATATTTAAAAAGCTACAAATGCTTTCTACATTAACAGAATAAAAGAAAACAATCTTCTCAATCTATACAAAAAGAGCATTTGATAAAATTCAATACCCATTCATAGTAAGGGCTCTTGGGAAATAGGCATCCAAGGGAAGTAACATGATAAAGGGTATCTCTGCCAAAGCATGATACATAATAGTGAACAGGTGAAACTTTCCTTCTGAGATCAGGAATGAGCTGAGGTTAGTCACTATTGATGCTTCTACTGAGCATTGTTCTAGCTGTTGTCCTAACCAGTATAATAAGGCAAGAAGAAGAAGGCTCAAAGATTGAGAAGGAAAAATTAAATGCTCATTATTTATGGTGACATGATTGCATACATAGAAAATAAAAAAGAATCTAAAAAGTTATTTGTATAAATGACTTGAACATGATTGCTTGATACTAGGTCAATATACTAAAATCAACTGTACTTTTATCAGCAAGTAACAAAATAGTAACACAAAGTTAACATTTATAATAACATAAAAAATTAACTTCCTAGGACTAAATCTAATAGAGATGCAAAATATCTCTACACAAAACTATAAAATATTATAGGAGAAATGAAAGACCTAAATATTAAAATAAGGAAGACCTAAATAATTATCCAGTGGCAGTATAGGCTAAAATCTATTACTGGCAAAAGGATAAATTAATGAAACAAAATAGAATCTAGAAAGAGATCCATCCATACACAGACCCTTGACTTATGACACAGTGGCGCTGCAGGGTAGCAAAGAAAGGCAGTCTTCAATGAACAGTGCTGGAGCAATTGAATAGCATAAGGGAAAAAAGTGAAACAACCCTCACCTTACAACTTTCACAAAAATCAATTCCAGGTGGATTATACATCTAATGTGAAAATAAAACTTAGAAAAGATAACTTAATATTTTCCAAACCTGTGGGAAGTTTTCTTAAACAGGACACAAAAATCATTATGAAAAGATAAATTTTAACAATCATTTCAGTTCCTCCAATAATTATCTAAGACATCATTGAGTGGGAAAAGCTATTTGCAACACATGTAAACAACCAGGATTTGCATTAAGAATATATAAATGCATAAGATCAGTAAGTTATAGTTCAGTATTTTAAAAAAAGATCATACAAAAAATGATGTATTTTACCAAATTCTATCTTTATACTTGTTTCCAATGTAATCTACAATTTTATTGGATTTTTATTTATGATAATTTTTGTGTCTTTATAGGAATCCAGTTGGAAGAATTCAGTTGGTCGTTGCCACTGTAATTGCTCTTTTCCCATTTACTGCATGGCTCTACATATATATTAACAAGGATATGCGTTCTTCCTGGCCAACTCACTGCAAGACAGTCATTTAAATGAAGAATCCTGTTCTCAAAATGAGAATATTCAATTTTTATAAACATGGATTTTATTTTTTTAATCCCAGGAATTTTTTAAGGCTGACTACAGGGTTGGATGGGACTAGTAAGAGACGGGGTCTGACATCCTATTGTGTCATAGTGTAGTACAAAAGGCAGTTGAAAAAAAGTTAAGAAATATGAATTCTAACTCAGCTTCCTCACTATCTATGTGACTTGGGAAATATAAAAAACCTCCTGGTGGTTATTTCTTTATCTATAAACCAGGATTAAAACTAGATCTACTTATAAAGTTGGAAGGATCAAACTAGATATTATGAGAGCACTCTGAAAATATAAAGTGCTTACAAAGGGCTACTATGCATGATTAAAATACAGGGAAGCGGGGCTTGGTTAATATGACAGAAATAGAGGTTCAAGAGGGGACTGTCTCCCTGACCTAATCTCATTACATTTGTGCAGTGCCATGAACTAAATGAGGACCCCGGGTGAAACAAATAAGCAAGCATGTCTTGGAAAGAAAGGAAAATTAGATAAAGGAATTTGGAACCAAAAAGTAAACAATATCAATTACACTGTAAATAAAAATAAGACTGAAATCTATACACATTTGAAAAAAATGAATTTCAAAACCAACCCTGGGGTGAGACCATGTTAGAGCTGTCCTCTCCAATACCGCAGCCCCCAGCCACGTGTGCACTGAGCACTTGAAATGTGTCTAGATGGAGGACGTTTTCTTTTCCATTTTAATTTAAAAACGTATCAATTCAGCTATTAGAAAACTTACAATGTTTGGAACACTTGTTTTAAGCATGCTTGGAGTAAGTATGTGAACCTACTGCAAATTTTATATCTAAATATAGATCAAGTATTTCCAATGAAGTTAGTGTCCAAATGGATGGGTTGAAGTATAATATATATACTAGATTTTAAAGACATAGTATAATAAATATAAAATTTTTATATTGATTACATGTTGAAATATTTTAGATATATTGGGGTAAATAAAACGTATTGGAAGTTGATTTTATCTGTTTCTATTTACTGTTTTAACTCTTTTTTTTATTGCTTAAAATATTACAAAGAGTAGTACATTTGTCTCCTTTTTATTTTTCCCCTTGACCTTCCCCCAGCCTCTATTTACTGTTTTAAATGTGCCTGCTAAAATACTTTATTCATGAGGCTCGCATTATATTTCTGCTGGTCAATGCTGTTTATATGGGCTTTTTCACATGGGCTACTCAAGACACCATTTCATGAGATGTAGGAAATATTTCACTCAAAACGTATTAGCACCAATCATAACTCAGGAGAGTGAAAATGAGCCTGGTAGTTTGTCTCTATTCTTATAATCTTAAATACAATTTAAGTATTCTATAAATGTTTGTTAAAGGAGGTATACATGTGTTTTATTTTACACAATGGCCTCTGGATAGTCAGAAATTCTTGATCAAGATTTAGATAAGGTAAAAGGGGAAAAAATCTAGTTGACATTAAAGCGATTAAAGTGAAATTTACTTTAAGGATTTCAGTGTTCCAATGTGCATTTAGTCTATATAGCAGTTATGGCTTTTATACCTCTTTTTGAATAATTATTAAGGTCATACATGAGGAAATGGACTTACTTGCAAATTCTATATAGAACCTACCCATCCTCCAAGTTATGCTTGATTCTGTGCTTAAAAGATAATAATGTTCCAATTTGAAAAAAAAAAATGTCCAAGATACACGTTCATCCTATCTGCATCTCCCACATCACACTGAATATGTGAGTTTATAGCTCCTTTTAAATCTCCGTAAGTATATATAAGGAACTAACTTTTGGTAGAGTACTGCCTTTAGAAAAGAGCATTACTGAAATTACTTTTAAACTCTACTTTTCAATTGAAGCATTACTAGTAAGTTTAATATTTCTACTATCAAAACATGTCTTCTCACCCCCAATCTTCTTTCTTCCCACTGAGACTTTTGTACACCAGCCTCTCATCATCTACTGCCCGGACTGAAACACGAATCTAATCATATATGGCCCAGCTCAGGAACCTGGGGTTCTCACACTGTGTGGCAAGATAAGTTTGAACTCTGGGCTGGTCATTCAAGGCTCTTCTGCACACAGCCATAGCCTAACCTTTTCCTGCTTTATTACTCAGCACCTTTCGGTGAATCGTGGTATCATTACTTGCATCTCCTAAACTCAGCATATCATTCAATGCCTCTGCTTATGCTATTCTGTTTACTTGAAATGCACTTCCACACCCATTTAAACCTTTCTTCTTCAAGTCATCCCTAATCCTTTCAAGCAACATGAAATTCCTGCTCCTTTCTTCACACACTTGTATGTAGGGGTCTGTTTCCTCACCATTATAGAGTTGGTTACTGCAGGGAGTACATCAGTCACCTCAGAGGTAGGCTGAATAATGCCCCTCAAAGATACCCAGGCCCTAATCTCCCGGACCTAGGAATGTTACCTTAGATAGCAAAATGGAGCATGGCTCTAACAACAGCTTGATCCCAGCCCAGTGAAAATAACTTCTGACTTTTGACTCCAGAACTGTTAAGAGAACAAATATGTTACTTAAACCACCAAGTTTGTGATTTGTCACCACAGCCATAGAAAACAAATACACCTGTACGGCCTAGGTAAGGGGTTGGGCAGGCACACTCATGTTGATCAGCATTGGTTGATCCCTTACTGTTTTTAAGCCCTTAATCAAACCTTCTCTACACTCCAAACAGTCCCCATTTGCCATATAGTGTTTCTGCAAATAAGCCTCAGCATGTATGACAACTGAATTGAACACGTCCCATTTATCTACGAAGGGAGTTAAGGGTGAATTCATTTAGCTGCTGTCTATCCTCATGCAGCTCTAGCTGGTGGCCCAAACAGACCCCAGAAACAGGCACACAGCTGCACTGGCCACATAACTTCTCTGAAGGCCCTTCTTATAGCCTCACACGAGAGGCACACATCACTATGGGAATGGGAGCACCATTCATTCATTCACCTGTGGAGTAACATGACAGTTTTGGGCTACAAAATAGGAACACACGCTTATAAAAATATAGTATGATGGCTATTCTGAGCAAAAAAATGTCCAAAGCTCATTTGCACAGGATGGTTAAAAGGAAAAGCTTTACCTGAGCTTCTTTTTTATTATGAATTTTAAGTTACATAGCTAGTAAATGAGCATATTCTCCTCGTAAAAAAAATTTTCAAAGTCTCAGGTAAGGCTAAAATAAAGTCTGTTTTGAGGACTATACCCCACCCCCACCCCCACCCTGCCCGGTCTCCTCCCTGGTTCATTCATTTTCTTTCCAATTTTTAGCACTGGATATAGTTCCAAAATGACTTCAGAATGTCTTATGAGCAAAACACTGAAGCCATTAATACATTTTGTTACATCAACAGAACACTAAACAACGAGACTGAGGAGTTAGGGGTGGGGTAGCAGAGCACAAACATGAAGCTAAGTCTCCTCTTTCTATATGGATAAAATAAATCAGACTAAAAGTGGAAAAGGTTTTTCCTTCCTGTAATTCATAATTCTGTCTGTAACTCGACCACTCCCTTTCAACATCATTTTGTCGGGATAGACATAAATCGTGCCAAAAGCCTGGCTGTCCGGAGCTGTTTCAATGACTCCTTCCACGTTGATGTGGTGCACACCAAAAGGATCCTCAGAGTAGCCACCATCGTGGGTGTGACCGGCGAAGAAACACACCACACACTCATGAGACCAAATGACTGCGAGGGCGTCTCTGTAATTCCAGGCCAGGCACACAGAGTCAGAGGCCTCTGGGTAAATGGGAAGATGACCTGTTAGTTAAAGAGAAGAGTTGTGAGCCAATTAGGATATACCACTTTCACCAAAATAAATGGCTAAAAACGAGTACTCAGGAAAACAATGTGCATTGCTCCTTCATTATGGGCTGAGACCAGCGAGAATTCACATACATGAAGAATGAGGTAATCTATAGCCAGGAGTCTGGAGCATAAAGGAGGGTGAGATAGTTCACATACAAGGGCAAAGGCCACAGCAGAGACAGAAGCCCTGCGAGTCCCAGGATGTACACACGTCAAGGGAGACCGAGGCAACCCGCACAGGGCAGTCCACAAAGGCAGTAGAATCAGGCCAGTGCTGTGCTGGAGTCCAGCCTCTGACTTCCGAAAGTATAGACATGTTACATACACACACAGAGGTACTCTTAGATAAAAGAGAGCTTAGGGATGGACCAGTGAATAATATGTCATTTTTCTAAACACTCAATGTCTTATAAAGAACTGATTTATGCCCCTTTAAACACCTCCAGGAGAACAAGGTAGCCATAGCCATTTTAGAGATGAGAAAACTAGGCGAAAGTGGGGAATATTCATACTAGGTCCCACAGGAGATATGTGAAAGTAGATGCCAAGACGTAAATGAGGCCACATCCTACATCAGGCCACATTTCACTCTGAAGGACAGATACAATAAACAGCTCATTGGTCTTTGCTTCTTCCCACTAATTCTGTTACTGTTTATTTTTATTCTGCTTAATATCTACTAGTTTTGTATAAAAAAGGGGGGCCAATAGTGCACACCTGTCCGCACACATACACTCAGCCAATCGTTAAGATGTGACAAGGGCTAAGGGTCCAAAGAGGCCATGTGACTTTCCAGATCTAGATGCCACACTGGACGCACCTATCAAATCCCTGTAGTGCTGGACACAATTAGTTGCTCCCTTTTTCTGGAAACACCTGGCTCCCAGGACAGTACCAATCCTCCCAGTTTCCCTCCAACCTCAAGGCTACTGATTCTCACACTCCTTTGCCAGCTCCTCATTTCCCCAGTATCTTATTAGGAGTGCCCGAATGTGTGGTTTGTGGGCTTCACTTCTGTCTACACCTAAAGACTTTGTGATCTCTTAGCAAGGTCCATAGTTTTAAATATCATCCGTATTCTTTCAACTTCCACATTTATACACCTAGCTCAAACCTCTATTTGGAATTTCAGATTCATTATACTCAACATCTCTGCTCATGTGTAACAGGCACCTGAAAGTTAATCTTTTCAACCTTGAACTCCTGAGCTCTCCACCCAAAGCCCCCTCCTGCTGCAGTGTTCCATATTCCAGCTAACAGCAATTCTGTCTTCCAACTTCATGGCCAAAACTCTAGAATTAGGCAAAATGACATGTGAGTAGCCAAAAGGGAAGTGTAAAAGCAAACAAAAAGGAAATTTCGATTAGTCATTTTAAACTTTGCTAAAGAAAACCCAAGGCACTGAGTTAAAGGTTTGTTCATCCAGTTTCTAAGTTTACAGGAAAACAGCAGAAATTTTAGAGACTGATAATATAGATAAGTGCACTGACATAAAAACAATGAGAAGACAGGATAGTGTGGGAAAGGGGCTGGGATACAAAACATGGACTCTCTAGCCTCAATTCTGTCAGGAGCTGAGGGATTTTAGCTATGTTGTTTAATCTCTTTTGGTTCAGTTTCTTTATCTTTAAAATTAAAAGGTCTGACTATATGTTCTCTAGGTCCCTTTTAGCGCCAGTATTCTCTAAAGCAAGGGTGGGGAACGTCCAGCCCACAAAATCACTTGGTCTGGCCCTGTCAAGGCATTAGGAGTGAGTTAATTAAATGTTTGACCAAATATAGCAGGCTAATTTTTAAGCTGATAATTTTGTATGGCCCGGGAATGATGTTATAAATATCCAAATGGCCCTTGGCAGAACAAAGGTTCCCCATGCCTCTAAAGTCACAAGTACAACTTAACAGCAAAGAAGAGACAAGTCAAGAAGTCTCAGTTTTTGAGACCACTCATTGTAAAGCCAAAATAGTGTCACATCATGCCAATAACCCCTGAGGGTCCCTTACATTTTTCAAGCCTTGAATGATATTTGATGGTAGCAGAAACACCCTTAACTCCATCTACATGTTTTCACTACATCAATGAAATGTAATAAGTAAAAACTATATTGATAGAAACCTCATTTTATATCAATTACCTGAGCAGCCTATCATTTTCTTCATAATCTCATTTGATGCAATATTGAGAAAACTGCAGTTTGTAGGTTCGACATATGCCCAATCAAAGCTCACAGATGTAAGAGCCAGATGGCATTCTGTCCTTGTGACCCTTAGTCCATGTTCTTATCCATTATGCCACATCAATTTGATCCCTAAAACAAGGGATATAATCTCAGCCCCCCAACCAAGTATACCAGCCACAATGCAAATCCCAAGTCAGTTCTATGTATATACATACATGTGCACACAGCCAATGCATGTACTGTAAGCACCTCCAGATTCCTAAATCTCTGATGACAGCATGTCTGTCAAAATCGATTCTAAATGAAAACAATATTCACGTAAGTGCTCACTGCCAGTTGTATCTCTAACACTTGTCCCTGTTACATCGGCTTTGCTTTCATCCAGGCAGCAGGGCCAGAGGTGTGGTAGGGGACCTAGACTGAATTTTTCATTTATATATTACTATGTAAATCGATCCCATTTGGAGAAATTCTACTATGAAACCTAAAAGGCCAATTCACAGGCTCTAGTATTTGGCAAGATGTTTTTGTTACTTTACAATTCAATTCTTCCCTAACTTGACCTTAAATGTTAATCTCATACTTAGATTGTTTTTCAATTTAAACTAAGCATTCATTTTACTGAAAGAGGATATCACATGTTATTAGTATGCTTTAAAATCTAATTTCCCATTCTCTAAAATGCTAATATACACAAATCATTTAAATACTTACTCACGATCACCACCTTTTCTTGGTTTGTGTCAGAGAACGTAAGGACTTCATTCAACCAGTTCAGTTGTTCTTGGCTGAATCCTCCATTAAACTGGACAAACTGAGGCTCAGAAAGTCCTAAAATAAATTCTGTAAGTTAGATCCACCAAATACAATTTTCTCATCATTAGGGCATTTTAACTTAGCTAATATGGGTAACTTATACTTCTCTTTAGGAACATTTGGCAGCAATCGACTTACAACAGGAAACCACAAGAATTTAGAATACACAACTAAATCACACTGTACCAGTATCCTGCTCCTAGTCTTGACACTCCTCTGCTTATTTCACTAGCTTCCTGTTACACTGAAAATAAATTAGACTCTTAACTGTCCACAGGGCTCCTGCAAAATCATCCTGCACACTGGCCCTTCCCTGCGTTCAAGAATGCCAGTCTTAACTATGCTTAGTGCCTCTGCATTTGTTTATCCCTCTGTCACAAATACTCTATCCAAGGTTGACTCCCTCCTGTCATTTAGATTTCAGCTTAAATGTTTTCTCCTTGGAAAGGCTCTCTTTGACCACCTAAACTAAAACAGTCCTCTCAGTCATACTTCATTTTCTTGGTAGCATATATCATTGTGGAAATAATCTTGTTACGATTTCATTTATTATTTGTCCTACTTTTCTTGTTCCTTCCACTCTACCCATTAAAAAAGTGATATTGTCAATACTGCTTACAGTCCTAAATAGCTAAGCTCTAGAAAAAGTGCTCAGCCCAGAACAATCATTCAGATATTTAAATAAATCTTCAACCAAAACAGCAACCAATCCATGTGCCATGAGGCTTGTGAGAAATCCTGACCCTGAACAACAGTGACAATATACTTTTACCTTAGTCATCCATCTTCCTGCCGAATAAAAGGTAGCTGAAGAATTTAAAGACAATGTATTAGACTCTCAGCTCAAAGGAATAATTCACCTTGAGGACTATTCAATTCCATATTTGGATTGTGCTCCTTCAGCATCTTCAGACACTGCTGGTATTTTGGAGAGGACTGGTCCACGCCCAAGACACTCAAGTCATAAGAATCGAGTAAAATGAACCGGAATTTAGGGAATGGAACAAAATGGTAAGCATAAAAACTCCCCGTAGGCACAGTTTCAGGATGGTGTTCAATCTGGTCTTCTAGAAACTTTGTGTTCAGTTTAGAGTTTGTTAAATAGTCTCTGCTGAAGTTATAGAATTCATGATTTCCCCACGTGTGATGAACTGGGACTTTAAGCCTTTGGAACACGTTCATAACAAGTTCTAGTGACTTTTCTGATGCTTTATACTGCGCATTGTAGCCATCAATGATATCTCCAAGCTGAAGGACACAACAGGGTGGACTGCTTTCTCTATTCCAGTGTTCAATAGCACCCTGCAAGTGAAGAAGACTGTGTCTGTAGTATCTTCTTCTGGTTCTTTGGTAGTTATAGCCATCTTCTAAGTTAGCATATTGAATATCTGCTATAACTCCAAAGGAGAAGAGATGTTCTGAACTCTCACTTACAGCTCCAGGACTGGGCTTGTCATCCATAACCTCTGAACAGATTTCTAAATAAAGTATAAAAGATAACTCAGTTATAAACATCTTAATCTTCTAAATGGTAAAGTGGGTATTAAACTTAATAGTTGACTCACTAGGTAGCTTGGTATAGACTCTATAGAGTAAAGTGCCTGGGCTTTAGAGCAGCCGTGGGCAAACTAGCCCGTTTGAAATGAATAAAACTAAAAAAAAAAAAAAAAAGACCGTACCCTTTTATGTAATGATGTTTACTTTGAATTTATATTAGTTCACACAAACACTCCATCCATGCTTTTGTTCCGGCCCTCTGGTCCAGTTTAAGAACCCATTGTGGCCCTCGAGTCAAAAAGTTTGCCCGCCCCTGCTTTAGAGTCTTAGATCCAAATTACCAAGACCTTGAAATGCTTCAGTTTTCTTATCTGTAAAATAGAGAATAACCTGTATTCTTTAGAAGGGTATTAATTTACAAGAGTATTATTTTATTAATGAATAGGCATTCTAATTCTAGCCAAGTCAAAATCAAATCTGGAATAATCTGTAATTTTTACGAAATATACACTAATTTTAAACAGGCACCTTCTTCTAATAATTCTATAAAAATTTCAGGATTTTTTGAAAGTCATACATTATACTCATTCATTGTACTTTATATATTAAATTCCTGCTGTGGGTTATTTTGTGTCTTTGTTGGTGGGTAAGTTTCTCATATTTTTTATCTGGGATAAAAGGGTAAAGATATGAGAATAATAATTTTAAACAAAAAAATCTGGCACAAAAACTATGTATGACATTGATGTGACTATTTTCACTTAAAATTTTTTTAAAGAAATATATTTTTATTGATTTCAGAGAGGAAGGGTGACAGAGAGATAGAAACAGCAATGATAAGAGAGTCATTGATTGGCTGTCTCCTGCACGCTCCACACTATCGAGCCAGCAACCCGGGCATGTGCCCTGACCGGGAATCAAACCATGATCTCCTGGTTCATAGGTTGACGCTCAACTACTGAGCCATACCAGCGGGACTATTTTCACTTATGAGAGTAGGGGGTCTTGGTTCTTCAATAGTTGGATATTAATTTCAAACCGCTTTTTAAAAGCTGAATATGAACTCCCCTTCCTTACAACAAAACGGATATGTGAAATTCTAATTGTCAGTGTTCCTATCAGAGGTGGAGGTGACAACCCCACAACTGGCAGTAAAGGCCAGACTTCAATTTGACTAATTTGAGAATTAGGGGCTTCTTTTCATTCTATAACTATTTGACCCACCCAATTATGAGCTTCAGCTACTTTCCTTTCTTCCCTAATCTGGTTGGGTATAATTATTCCAAAAACAGGTAAAATAGCACCAGAAAAAGGGATGGAGACCCTAAAACATGGCCTGTGTTCTTACACTGGGTTTTTTCATTTGCTCATTTTTCCTGCAGTCCCCATTTGAAAACCCCACCAGATAGCAAGTCAGTCTATAAGTGTGAGGGTGGGCAGATGAGATAATCTGATTGGAAGGCAAAGAACTCAGATACAATTATAATAAATACAAAACTCACCTAAGTTAGTTGAAAAGCTCTAGTTCTAATAGATTTCAAATATTTACGATTCCAAGTACAGCTTAATAGAAGAATCAAATCAAAAGATAATTTAGCAAAAGTATCAGTGGAACATTATTACCAAAGCTTAAGGGAAAACTGTTTCTGGGAGTGCTTTTGTCCCTTGTCAAATGCGCTTATTTTTAACTTTAAACTTAGAGCCTTTAAGGCAATAATAAGTTCTTGTGTAACTCTTAGAGGACATTTAGCCCCTATTAATTTCATCTTCTCTCCAGTAGATAGCTGTTATTTCTGCCTGCCTAGCATCCATTTCCTGTTCTTGTAACAGAACCGCAATAACTCTTTTACCTAATTCCTCAATCTTACTTCATGTGGTTTGAGAGGCACAGACACCTGACCCAGGGTTGGCCTATAAAAGCCATTCCCCACTTGTCAGGGGTAGGCATATAACCTAAGCTGGGCCAAGGGTCAGCCCTGGGACTTTTGTTGGAACTACGAGCAAAATTATTAGAACTACTTCTACTAAGCTGATAACTAAGACTGGAACTGCTGGGGGAAAATTAACTAAGAAATCTGACTGGCAGAAAGAAGTAGGTAGAGTCCTGGGACTATTAGTTGAATACCTGGGTCTACCTGTCCCTGCCAGAACTAATATTGGTCATTCATTTAGTTATATCAGCCAAGAAATTCTCCTTTGAGCTTAAAGTCAAAGTGAATTGGCTTTACTTTTCTATCATGTGATTCCAATCAGACACATCTTCCTGGAACACAGTCCAAGTTAGGGATAAAGTAAGATTAGCCAACTTTTTAAAGTGAAGCAACATGGAAGGACCAGCAAGGACCATACACTTCCAAAGAGCAATGTGTTCTGGAGTAGAAAAGAGATCAAAATACTGAATGCATATAGCTTTAAAAAATAAGGTTATGGCCCTAGCTGGTTTGGCTCAGTGGATAGAGCGTTGGCCTGTGGACTGAAGGGCTCTGGGTTCAATGCCAGTCAAGGGCACATGCCTGGGTTTCGGGCTTGATCCTCAGTAGGGGGCGTGCAGGAGGCAGCTAATCAATGATTCGCTCTCATCATTGATGTTTCTCTCTCTCTCTCTCTCCCTCTCTCTGAAATCAATAAAAATATATTTTAAAAAAATAAGGTTATGATATCAGTACAAAATTGAAAGACTCAGAAAGGTGAAGAATAAGAGGTTAGGCAAAGATAATCCCAGAAAAATCAAATATAAGAAAACAGAGGTTACTCCTTTGATGTTGCATTAGGTAGAACTCAGGCCAGAAATGATTAAAGAGGGAGACACAAATAAGGTTACAAGGTGCAAGCTCAATGAAGATGTACTATTGGATACATGGATATTATGACAACTTTGATTTTTAAAAAACGTTTTAGGAGAGTCAGTAAGACTTGGAAACATTAATAAAACTTAAAATCTCTCTTAGTTGAAGATAGATCAAGGAGAAAAAATTTTTATAAGGCTATTGAAGACCTAAATGATAGAACCAAAAGGTGGATCTCATCGCCATGTATTGCATGTGAAAGAATACACCTTCTTTGCAAATGCACATGTAACACTGAAGAAAAATGATTTGTTGACATATAAAGAAAACTCCCTCAAATTAAAAAATAATAATAAAAATAAGAATAAGGTTATGGCCCTGGCAGAATGGCTCAGCTGGTTGGGCACCAAAAAGGTTGTAGGTTCGATCTCAGATCACGGCACATACTGCATAGATATTTCTCCCTCTCTCTCTAAAACCAAGAAATATGCCCTGGCCGGTTTTGGCCAGTGGTTGGAGCACTGGCCCATGGACCAAAGGGTCGCGGGTTCAATTCCCAGTCAAGTGCAAGTACCTTGGTGCAGGTTCCCCAGTCCTGGTGGGGGCAGGTTCGGGAGGCAACAATTGATGTATCTCTCTCACAAAAATGTCTGTCTGGCTCTAACTTTGTCTCTCTCCCTCCCCCCCACTTCCCTCCTCCCTCCCACTTTCTCTAGAAATTAATGGAAAAAATATCCCAGGGTGAGGATTAAAAATAATAATAAAATCAATAAATATATCCTCAGACGAGGATAAAAAATAACAAGGTTATGGATAGGATAGATGCAATTTTATCACATAAATTATTTAAAAAGACAGAAACTTAAATTCCCATGCTGTGATCTCTTAAGGGAAAGATATGAGGCAAGAGGAAAGGACACAAGCACTTTCAAGGAATGACAATTAGGATCACAAGTGAGTAAGGCAGGGAAAAAAGCACCCATGGGCAGGAAACCGACTCTCCTGATTAGTTCAGAGTCTTAGATCATGACTCAGGGAGCTTAGAAAGAGCAGTCCCCGTAGACAGAGGACAAAACTCAGACACCTCCAGGGTCGAGATTTAGAATTAATAAGATTCATCAATTAATTAATTCCAGGGACTTTTTCAAAATATCCCCCTGCTTCACCAAACACAAAAAACATGGGTGAGGAGAGGATGATAATTGTAGAAGCTAGCAATGGGTACATGAGGTTTATTCTCTCTACTTTATGTGTTTTTAAATGTCTGCAATACAAAGTTTTAAATAGCATTCAAAAGTTTAGAGCAGCGGTTCTCAACCTGTGGGTCGCGACCCCTCTGGGGGCCCAACGACCCTTTCACAGGGGTTGCCTAAGACCATCGGAAAACACATATATAATTACACATTGTTTTTGTGATTAATCACTATGCTTTAATTATGTTCAATTTGTACCAATGAAAATACATCCTGCACATCAGATATTTACATGACGATTCATAACAGTAGCAACATTACAGTTATGAAGTAGCAACGAAAATAATTTTATGGTTGGGGGTCACCACAACATGAGGAACTATATTAAAGGGTCGCAGCATGAGGAAGGTTGAGAATCACTGGTTTAGAGAAAATAAAGTCTGGAAGAATTAGAATAACCAAGGAAATAATTTGCTTTTGAAAAGAAAGGAAAATACCAAGTTTGTGACTGAGTGTGGGTGAGCCAAGTTGTGATTGCACAGTCCATGGGGCAGGCGGCTGTGGAAAGAGGAAGGGGAGGGGGAGGGTGGCCTTGAAATGTAACTGTGCTAAATATTGCAGTCATGGCAAAACTGAGGCAGAAATGTTTGTGGCTGGACACCCGGGGTGGATGTGTGAACCGGAGATGAGAATCAAGTTCCAGTGCCGGGAAGGTTTTCTGAAAGTCAGGCCTAGCGGTCCCAGTCAAAACAGTGTCCGCTCTTCCAAGAAAAGTATTGAAATGGAAAGAAATAAAAAAAAAAAAACCACCTCATTTGGGGATCTTGGTGGTTTGATGATAAGTGATAGGTTTACACTAGATAATGTTTTAGGTAGCTTTTAACACTAAAGTTCCATAGGTCCAGGAAATCAGGGGCAGAGGTGTTACTAGCAATTCATCCGAAGGACAGCTATACAGCACCTACTTTGAGTCAAGAACTGTTTCAGAAACTAATATTTTACTTAACATTATAAATTTAATATGAAGAGGCTGTATAAAAATGCTCTGGTAAACAAAGGCAAAGCGATGAAAAGAATCACCCTGGTAAACACAACTTAAGTGACCAGCTAGAAACACCACCGAACTCCATTTCAATGTACATGATGTGTGTGTGATCAATTAGTCTACAACTGAAAAGGATGGACAGCAACCTCATAGGCTCATTGCCTGAATAAGCAAAGTGCTTTTGTGGCTTTCTGTCAATTTGAGGGAAAATTTCTCCTTGGGGAAACCAATACACAGACATATGAGGGTAAAAAAATATTACTACCCACAGGCAACTCCAAGACAGAAAATTTAATTCGATTAAAAAGGGCCCTAACCGGTTTGGCTCAGTGGATAGAGCATCGGCCTGCGGATTGAAGGGTCCCAGGTTCGATTCCGGTCAAGGGCATGTGCCTTGGTTGCGGGCACATCCCCAGTTAGGGGTGTGCAGGAGGCAGCTGATCGATGCTTCTCTCTCATCGATGTTTCTAACTCTCTATCCCTCTCCCTTCCTCTGTAAACATCAATAAAATATATATATTTTTAAAAAGGATTTGAAGTGCTGAGCAAACACACTGACTTTGAGCAGAAATTCATGGAAATTCCCGTTCAACTTTGGAATAAAAAAACACATGGGTGATGCCAGACTACAACCAACGGAGCACACGTGGCCCAGGAAAGCCTGCTCAGCGCCCCGCGCACCGGGCACCGGGAAAGCCACGCAGGAGTGGGGTCTGCAGCGAAGGAGGAAGATGAGAGGGCGACTTCTCCCTTTTTCTGCGTTTTGCGAATCCACCAGGAAAGCCGGGAGGGGAGGGGTTCCGATCACAGACACGGAGACCCCTCGCAGGGCAAACGAATGCGAGTCCAGCTTTCGGAAGGAACGACTATGGGGCCGTGGCCCTTCCGCCCCAGACGAGACACGCGCCCAAACCTTCAGCCGCGGATCGGAAGGGGCAGGGGGGTCGCCGAGGGCTTTCTGAAGAAACTGGGCCGGAGGAGAAAAGTTAGGGACCCGGGTGTGACGCAGCACAGCTCCCTCGCCCTGCGCCGCTGTGTGTGATCAGGCTCCATGAGAGCCGGGGGCGCCGGTCATCAGTCCTCCCTGACTCGCCCTCGCTGCTGACCACAGACATCAATCATCCATATTAGCAACAGTTACTTCCAGCGCCAGGGGTCGGCGTGGAGGTGCAAAGGGGTCAGCAGCCAACTGGCGGCCTCCACACAGGGCAGGGCAGGAGGCGGGCGACAAGGTGGGGTGAGGACTGCGGGGGCTCGCGGGGCTGCGGACCCCGTTTTCCTGTCCCCGAGACCAAGGGGGGGGGGCTGCCCGGGGAGCGAGGGGCCCGCAGCGCTCAGGCCCGCCCGGCCCAGGCCCCGCCGCGAAGCCGGGACCCCCTAGGCGGCCGCTCCGGAGGGTCCCGCTGTCCAGCCCGGGGCGACCCGCCTCCGACCGCGAGGAGCCACCTACCGCGCGCCAGCTCCCAGCGAAGGGCGGCCGGACTCTCCGCTCAGTGACTCACCGCGTCACTAACGAGCCGAGCGGGACGGGAAGAGCAGCTCCTCCGACTTCCGGAGGAAGTCAAAGTGGAACCGGAAGTCGAGGGGCGGGTCGAAGGAGGCGCGACCTCCAAAGCTCATGGCGGGGTTGTTACAGGGATCCGGCCGGTTCATGCGGCTTCCGGGTGGTCAGCTTAGGCTCCTCTCGCCTCGAGGTTTCGGGGTGTGGGGCCCGGCACCGGGGACCGTGGGCGTCTTCCTGAGGCCACTCTGCGCGCAGCCGGAGAAGGGATGGCGGGCCTGGGGGCTCCCCCGCGCCTGTCCGGGGTGCCGGCGCCTCAGCTCCGCGATGCCGCCGCCGCCGGGGGCGCCAGGACCCGAGCCGAAGGGCCGCCGAGACCCCTCCCGCCCCTCGAAACCCGGGGTGAGTGCACACCCGGAGCACCTCCTTCCCTCGCCGCGGCCGTCGGGCCCTCCCACCTGGTCGTCACCTCGGAAAGCACCCGGCCGCGCCTGAAATCGTCTGCGGCCCAGCCGCTCACCTGGGTCAACATTTTAGGTTTCCTTAGCGTCCTCCACCCGAAACTTTCCATTGTTGAGGGGTCAGGGCGTTTTGAGAATCTCGACATTCGGGTCCCCTTTCGGAGGGTCGGTGTGCACGTTGAAATGGAGCAAAATAGGGATCGTTGTTGCCTGCTGGATAGGTCCCCCCTCTTTTTTTTTTGAGAGGGGGGATTCTTTCAGGTTCTTCTGACCCAAAAAGAACTTACAAGCCACTTCCTCTAGGTGGTGGGTGAGGGTAGGTAGGGTTTCTCGGATCTGGGGGATGTTAGTGAGTTAGGCCTGCGCAGCCCCGCATCTGGGGACTCGCAGAGAACCAGGAAATGAGGTTGCGATGCGTTTGCAGGAACTCCACTCGCAGCCTCTTCCACTTTGCAAGCCAGGTTCACCTCCCAAACTTCACTTGGTTTATTGATATTCACAATAGCAGCACCAGCAGGTAATGAACTGGTTTTCAGGTCAGCAGTGGGGATCAGAGGCACACTGCTTGTCTTTTTTTTTTTTCCAAATGAAGAGAAATGGGCTGAGCGGACTTGCCCTTGAGAACGTGCCTTTGTGGTTGCGTTTAGGAGCCCAGATACAGCTGCATCCGCAGACACTTTCAGTACGTCCTCATCCCAAGTAGCATGAAACGTTCGGCACATTGAACAATATCAGGGCCTCCATTTTCATATTTAAAACTACGGTAATATGTTCAGTATGGTTAAGTGTCTGCATCTTACTAGTGGTTTTGGTTTTGAAATCTCTGCCCCAGTAGCCCGTTTCCTGGAAGTCCTTAGCTGTCACGTTTGCCATTGGAGGAGCTTTATTGGCTGGAATGAAGCTCTTCAAGAAAGAGAAGACGGACAGTGAGTACATGTCATTTGGTCAGCTCTGCATAACGTCTTTCCTGCCTCTGGACTAGCATCTCTTTGTTTTTAGACTTTTAATTTTGAAATAATTTTAGGTTTACAGAAGAGGTGTAAATATGGCATAGAGCAGCGGTTCTCAACCTGTGGGTCGTGACCCCTTTGGGGGTGCAACAACCCTTTCACAGGGGTCGCCTAAGACCATCGGAAAACACATATATAATTACATATTGTTTTTGTGATTAATCACTGTGCTTTAATTATGTTCAATTTGTAACAATGAAAATACATCCTGCATATCAGAGATTTACATGACGATTCATAACAGTAGCAAAATTACAGTTATGAAGTAGCAACAAAAATAATTTTATGGTTGGGGGTCACCACAACATGAGGAACTGTATTAAAGGGTCGCGGCCTTAGGAAGGTTGAGAACCACTGGCATAGAGAGTTCTCATATACCCATTACCTAGCTTCCCCTAATGTTGACGTGTCATGAAAACTAAGAAATTAGAATTGGTACACTAGTCCTCACTAAACCACTCACTCACTTTATTTGGATTTCACTTGTTTTTCCGTTGCCTTTTACCTGTTCCAGGATCCAATCCAGCATAGCACTGTGCAACAATATGAAATGACTTCTTTTTGGACAGATTTGAATGTGGGTTAGTGCAACGTCCAGAGGCTACAAAGATGACTAAGGTGCATTCCAGCCTTTGCGATACCTGTGAAGTAAAGATTTTACTAGATGAGGTTCTGTCAGGCCAGAGGGAAGTTCAGGGTGCTCTGAGGGCCAAAGGAAAGCTCAACCCCTACCATAAACCACTGGGTATCAGCAGACAGAAGAAGGCCAGAGACTGACCATGGAAGACAGAGAGAGGGAGAACCTGTGGCGGGAAGCTAGGAACCGCTGTGGACAGACACTTGAAGTGTTTAGAAATTGTTTACAGGAAGTTTATATTTTAGCGAATATTCTAGGACTTCTTCAGATTTGCTTTAGAGTTTTCAGTAAATCTTTACAGTGTCACTTAAATCTGTTTTGATTTTTTTAGTGTCTCTTTTGATGCCATTATACACAGGATGGTGTTTAAATCTGGGAGTGAGAATTCATAGGCTTTAGAACCTGAGCAATATAAGATTCATGAAGATATTTAGACCTTTCTTTTGTATAACTGGTAGTACTTTATTGATATAATTTTCATATTCTAATAAGCAGTTAAGTTCCTTTAGTATCACAGTGAAATAAAACTGAAAAGCTAGGAAAGTGTTGGTAAAGACATTTAAGGAAAATGCAAGCTTCATTTGACTTTAGTTTGGAATGTCACCTGCAATTAATAACATTTTTATTAAAAATGTATTATGATACATACAATATTAAAAGTGTTCCTAAATCATTTGAAAATATTTGCTTGACATGATGCCTCAGCATCTCTAAATACTTTATTGTATATTTCTACAAATAAGGACATTCTCCAATATAATCACAATACGGTGTTCAAAATCAGAAAATCGACACTGATATGCTTTACTGTTGAGTGTTCAGACCTCTTTAAAGTGGTGCAGCCTGATGCCCTTTATGGCAAAAGTTGTCTGGTTTAGAACCACACCTCATGCCTAGTTGCTTTTTTAGTCTCCTTCAATCTGTAAGTTTTTCAGTTTCTACTTGACTTTCAGGACCTGATATCAGCTATTTCTCTAAAAACCCTGTTTCCTTTTTGTGGAGGAGGATATTTAGAAGTCAGGATACGAGTTTGTTGTTATTGGTATATGAGTTCAATGTGTCTTCTCCCAGGTCCTCTCAGTAGACAGAGCTAGGAAAGAGATATACAGTGTATATATATTTTTTAATCTATATTTCTGTATATAGAGAAACCATAAGTTCATATTGTACCTCCAGTTTCTTTCCAGTACTGCAAGTTTCATTCTAGTTTTCTTTCTATTGTTCTAACTCCTTGTCCATTTGTAACTCTCTTATCTCTAATATATTTACTTATTTGATCAGCCCCCAGTAAGTAAGTAAGCTCCCATCACCGCTGTCCCCTCCCCTCAGCACACAGCTGCCCTCGGCACACTCAGGCTCAGACTTCCCAATGCCAGGCCACCACCTTGCCCCCTTGGGCTCAGGCATTCTGTATAGCTATGCCCTCTCTCTCACCCGCATCATGGCACACCTGTTGGCTTAGGATTGAATTGTTCCAGAAGAAATATTTTTACCACTTTCGTTTCTTATTGTCTTTAGTACATATTGATTTAATTTGATTTTGTTTTATTTTATTTTATGCTTATTTTCCTTAAGAGGTTTTTTTAAGGTTCTTGAAAACTGACACTATTTCTTATACAATTTGTGCCCACACAGCCATTAGTATAGTATGAATCATATATCAGGTATTGAGTAACTGTGGTTATATTGACAATTTTGTGTGTGTGTGTGTGTGTGTGTATTTGTGTCTGTTTAAGAGCTGGAGAAGGAACGGCAGCGAAGCATTGGAAAGCCTCTACTTGGGGGACCATTTTCCCTCGTAACTCATACCGGAGAGCGCAAAACTGATAAGGACTATTTGGGTCAGTGGGTATTGATTTATTTTGGTTTCACTCATTGCCCTGATGTTTGTCCAGAAGAACTAGAAAAAATGATTCAAGTCGTGGATGAAATAGGTAAGGAAGCCATTACTTACTATGAAAAGTATGTTTACTTAATGTCCTTAATGTTACTATTCTTTTCACATTCTAGTATTACTGTTAGATGGAGGTTTGTAATTATTTGGTTTGTGTGAACATAAAATCTTAGTGTTAGGCTTGTCTATTGCTTGGATTCCCATGACCTATAAATTCTCCACCAAAAGAAGCTTGTTATGATGCTAAATATTAGTTTGCTTAAAAATGTCAATGTGACCCTACCCGGTTTGGCTCAGTGGATAGAGCGTCAGCCCACCGACTGAAGCATCCTGGGTTCAATTCCCAGTCAAGGGCATGTACCTCAAACCCCAGTCCTGGTGCAGGCACGTTGTGGGAGGTAACCAATCGACATGGATGTTCCTCTGTCTCTCCCCTTCCCTTCCACTCTCTCTAAAAATCAATGGAAAAATATCCTCAGGTGAGGATTTTAAAAAAAATGTCAGTGTGATCTGGGTCTCTCTTAACTCTGCTTTGTGTCCCTTTATTGTGGCTTCCATTATTGAGTCCACTGTTGCCTTTCCCAGATGACTGTTGGTTAGACTGAAATCTGTGGGTGGTCAATGACGTGCAGGCAGGGGCATTTATTAGTACCAATAAGAAGACAGGCTACATCCTTCTTAAAATGAATTATCCCAGGCTATTCGGTTCTTATGAATAGTTTGCCCTGCCTTTGGGGCCTGGTGCGGGGAATAACCTACAGTATTGGGTTGGATTAGGGGACAAGATACCTTGGTGCAGGTATTTGGTAGGTTATCTGATTCCACCACAGACAGTATACCAATCTGTTTCTCCTCAAGGCCATTCCATCCCCTTCCTGGTCATGTAAGACCAGTGTCAGATGTGCCTTTGTTTCCCTAAGCCTTGCAGTAGCTACTACACTCCACTGTAATTGCTGGTTTTCTTTGTCGTTTCCCTTACAGTGTGAATACTGACTAACGAACTTTCTTTCAGATGATATTCCAACTCTGCCAGATTTAACTCCACTTTTCATCACTATTGACCCAGAGAGGGACACAAAAGAAGCCATTGCAAATTATGTGAAAGGTATGTCCCATTACTAATACTTAGTATCTGTTTAGCTCTACAGTTTTTGAAATATCAACTCATTTGTACCTTAAAATGGCCTGTGAAATAGGGAGGACAAATGTTATCTCCAATTTTACAGTCAAATAAAAAGATGAGGCTCAGAGTTGTGACTGTGGCTAGTAAGTAAATAAGACACAGGCTTCTTTATTGCTGGGCACATATTTATATTGCAGGGTCCTTTTATTTTGTCAGGGTGGGAGAACTGAACTCAGCCTTCGTGTATCAGCAAAGTCAATAGAGCCTTGAATTGAGAGTAAGGGGCCTTGTTTCTAATTCCGCCTGTGCATCTCATTCTCTCCTTTGTAAAATTAATGTGCATACGTTCTGGGAGTATGTGCATTGAGAGATTAAAAATAAATCTTATATAAACACATTTTGAACTCAGGACATAGTTTATAAACCCAAAATATTGATTATGACAGAAACATAACTACTAGTGGAAGGATTTCAATTCAAACATCTCAACATGCAGGTCAAAACCTATTAGAAGGTACTTTTAAAGACTGTAAATTATGGTAGAATTAAAGGTGAATACTTAGGTCTTACGAGCTTAGGTGAGTTGCTTAATTTCTCTAGATTTGAGTTTTTTCAGCTGAAAAGTGTGTTGAGAGTAAAGATCTAATCAAGCAGGTTTTGTTCTTATACTAGTGTGCAGAAGGTGGGTGCTTAAAAATCAGGAATTTAAATTGTAGTTATGGTGAAATTGATTTAAATTACTGGACAGAACAACTAGTGAATAGTTTTATATTTGTTTTTATTATGACACAGTCTAATGCACATGTCCTCTAAACCTTTGAGGTTATTTTTTAAAATGTGTTTTGTGAAGGACCTTACTATATATTTTATTATTTAACAGACTGATTGAGAGATAATTAACAAAGTGTATATATTTAAGTGTGCAGTTTGTTACCTTTTGACATATGTGTGCTTGGGAAACCATCACCACAAAAAGAGTAAACATATCCATGCCCCCCAGCAGCTTCCTTGTGCCCTTGCTAATCCCTCCCTCCTGCCCCTCCACTTCACCCACCCCTGGCTTCGGCAACCAGATCTGCTCGCTGTCTATGTAGATCAGTTTGCATTTCTACAAGTCAATGTAAATAGAATTATAGAATATGTACTCTCTTTTTGAATGGTTTCTTTTAGCTTAATTATTTTGAGATTCATCCTTGTAGAATGTATCAATAGTTCATTCATTTTTATTTCTGAATAGTATTCAGTTGATGGACACTGGAGTTATTTCCAGTTTTTGACTATTACAAATAAAACTGCTAAGAGCATGGATATGCACCTCGTTGTGGTTTTAATATGCGTTTCCCTAATGTTGAGCATCTTTTCATGCTGTTGTTTGCCATCTGTATGTCTTCTTCAGTAAAAAGTGTCTCTTTATATCTTTTGAGGCTTTTGTTTTATTTATTCACTTTTATTTATATTCCTGATATAAGTCTCTTATCAAGTGTATGATTTGCAGATATTTTCTCCCATGGCTTGTCATTTCAGTCATGTTTTTTGAAGAGCAATTTTCCATTTTGATGAGATCCAGCTTATAAACTTGTTCTTGTATAGGTAATGCTTTTGGCTTTATATGTAAGAAATCTTTGCATAATCCAGGGTTACAAAGGTTTATGTTTTTAGTGTGTAAAAGTACAATTAATGTTCATAGTTTGCAAGTTTGTCAGAAACTTGGGCAATAGGGTATTTTCTAAAGCCAGAAAAAGCAGGTATACTAGTAGTAACCAAACTATAAATACCCCAAATGAATAGATATCTGAGTTGCTGCACCTAACTAGACTACCAAAACCTTGTGGTGATATTCTTCATCAATCACTGTCAGTCACTTGGCAGTGATTGATGAAGTAATCATTAGTAATTGCATTTGGGGGGATTTTAAAATATTTCAATTAGTAGCTAGAAAATTATTGAAATTTCAACAATTTAAAAAGGTCTGGATGTGCAACTAATTCAGGCTTCTTTTACCTCTCTCTTCATTTACTAATTGAGCAGAAAAGAAAGACAAGCCATCTTGCTTTTTCAGTACCTGAACAATTTTTCAGTTTAGAATGAATTAGTCCAAGGAATGAAAATAGGCTTTCTCTCCCTTCAGAAGAAGGTACTGTGGTTAAATGTTGGACTATCACTTTAATAGTCTGATGAATCCAGGTGTTTTAAGTGACTTTCACCGGCTTACTTACATAAATTCCAAAAACCTAACAGCAGATCCGTAGTATGAGATTATTTGCTGGAAAATGAGATACAGATATTTTGACCTGCTGTGAACTAATAATGAGACAAATTTTTATCTCATGATATGATATAAAGATAAAAACTATAGTGCGTAATTCATGACAATATCTTTGAACTTCAGCATATCTCATTATTTAAAAACAACTAAATAAGAAATGTGACAAATAATTAGAATATATTCCCTCCTTACTAGATAGTCATGAAAGGATATGACTGATAGATTATTAAGAACCAACTTTCAGTTTCATTGATCTTCTGTATTAATACCCTGTTTTCAATTCCATTGATTTCTGCTCTCATTTTTCTTTTCTGCTTACATGGGGTTTAATTTGCTCTTTTTTTCCTAGTTTCCTAAGGAGGAAACTTACCAACTTTAGATCTTTCTTCTTTTCTAATGTATGCATTCAGTACTATAAATTTCTCTCTTAAGCACTGCTTTTTCTTCATCCCACAAATTTGGGTAAGTTGCATTTTCATTTTCATTTTTCAAAATATTTTTTACTCTCTTGAAATTTCCTTTTTGACCCATGTTATTTAGAAGTGTGTTTATCTCCACATACTTTGGGATTTTCCAGCTATCTTCTGTTACTGATTTCTAGTTTAATTCCAATGTGACTTGTATACAACAGGAAAAATTTTATTTGTTCTCTATGTGAAATTTTTTTCTTTTGAAACATGAGGAAATGTTTAGGGACTCACAGGAAGAAAGTAGCAATAGGGCTTCTTTATAACTAGTACTGCTTTTTCATGTAGGGATAGGTTGTTTTGTGCGCTTCTCATTTTTTGCTGTCTTTCTCATTTTTTATTTAGAATTTTCTCCCAAACTGGTTGGTTTGACTGGCACAAAAGAGGAGATTGATCAAGTAGCCAGAGCTTACCGAGTGTATTACAGCCCTGGCCCCAGGGACGAAGATGAGGACTACATAGTAAGTACTTGCTCAGGTTTCTACCCACAGGCCAACTCTCAGGGCTCAGATGTTCATATAGATTTAAGTGACAACTGGCATCAGAGAGGAAAGAAAACCTGAGATTTTTGCAAATTCCTTAGGAATTAGGGATAAAGAGAAGCCAGCATTTTGGAGCAAAGCTATTTTACTTGTTAAAAGCATTGTATTGTTTCTGTGTCCCCTGTGAAGAGGTCAAAGCTATTTTACTTGTTAAAAGCATTGTATTGTTTCTGTGTCCCCTGCTTCTTTTGAGAAACAGTGTCTGGCCATGAGGAACTGTATTTTGGGGTTGAATGAATAAGAATTTAGAAAGGCAAGAGAAAATAGGAAAGGCACAGATAGGTAGACTTTCTATAAGGTGTATTTTCTTTCTTTTTTTTTTCTTTGTTAATCCCCACCCAAGGACACTTTTTGTGTTGTTTATCCTCACCCCAGGATATTTTTCCATTGATTTTTAGGAACAGTGGAGAGAGAGGGAAAGAGAGAGAAATATCAATGTGAGAGAAACACATCGATTGGTTGCCTCCTGCACAAGCCCTGACCAGGGCCCAGGCCGGGGAGGAGCCTGCAACCAAGGTATGTGCCCTTGACTGGAATTGGTCCCAACCTCCTTCTGTTTGCAGGCTCTCCACTGAGCCAAACTATTTAGGGCAGGTGTATTTTCATATCTCTATATGACTTCCATCATTAGGTGTTTAATTATGTTCTTTTTAATGATTCCATTAAGGTGTTCTGCTGTAGCTCATACATTCAAGAGCTATCTACTTTCATTAGCACTGCCCCAGGAGCCCTAGGCTAATGCCCAAGTTCCTGAGTTCCGTTTCTCACCAGTGGTTTCACAGTGAAGCACCAACAAAGGGCATGCATACTGCTCTGTTCGGTTTTCTCAACAGGACATTCTTTCCCATCACATTAAGAACTGACATTGCCTGGCCGGCGTGGCTCAGTGGTTGAGCATTGACTTACGAACCAGGAGGTCAGGGTTTGATTCCCAGTCAGGGCACATACCCAGGTTGCGGCCTCGATCCCCATTGTGGGGCATGCAGGAAGCAGCCAATCAATGATTCTCTCATCATTGATGTTTCTCTCTCTCCCTCTCCCTTCGTCTCTGAAATCAATAGAAATATGTATTTTTTTTTTAAAAAAAGTTGACATTGTATTTTAGTATCATTTCCATTTTTTTCTTTAGTTGTCATACTCTGGTTTCTGTATTAATTTGGATGGACAAAGTGATTAACCAGAAGAGCCTTTTTACCAGCAAAGCTGTTTTATAGAAAGAAAGCTGGCCAGGACCTGAGTCATTGATCTGCTGGCTATGCCATGGCTCATTTCCAAGAGCAGTGTGCAGAGGGGGCATCTCACTGTGGTGCTCTATCTGCGGCCCTATGGTTTCTCTGTCACCTTGAACCTGGGCACACTGTAGCCTACAGGCTCAATTTGGCTTCTGGTCCCTTTGCTTCAGTCTTATTTTCCATAATCTTATTTTCCAATTCTGATACCTCCTAGATTTAGGGAAACTTGGGTTCATGAGAAAAAAAGACAAAAATTAGCGTATTTCTTGCCCTGACCGGTTTGGCTCAGTGGATAGAGCGTCGGCCTGTGGACTGAAAGGTCCCAGGTTCGATTCCGGTCAAGGGCATGTACCTTGGTTGCGGGCACATCCCCAGTAGGGGGTGTGCAGGAGGCAGCTGGTCAATGTTTCTCTCTCATCGATGTTTCTAACTCTCTATCCCTCTCCCTTCCTCTCTGTAAAAAATCAATAAAATATTTTTTTTAAAAATTAGCATATTTCCATAAGCCCTAAGTTTAAGGAAAGAGGAAATCCTACTGGGGTTTCCCCTTGTTGCACCAGCAGCATGAGAAGAATGAGAGAAGAGTACAGGGCAAGAGAGGAAGCCATGGCAAGAAATTCCAGCTTATTTACTCTTTCTGTAAAAGAGAGTTGAATTAACTGGTTTCGAGTTTGGGCACTGAGATTTGTACTGTGTACATAATCCAGAATGGGATGTTAATATTTTTTATCTTAATGTGGAGTCCATTGCTCTACGTTTGCCAAATCAACCAATAGGGGGAGACACTCTCCAGTTTCTTGGTTCATCATTAGTATGGCTTCTGCCCTGGAAGTCACAGATTTTCATCCACAAGATGGTGTGCGAAAACTGCTGTTACAATTTTAGGAACTGCAAGGAGGCAGGGAGTATCTTAAAGGTTGAGGTGTAATGGAATGAGGTTTTCTTAATCTCAAACAACAGCAACAAGGTACGACTCTGGCTTCCAGACGCCAGTGGAGCCCTCAGAATGGTCTGTGTGCTGGTGCCAGTCTTTCAGGGGTCCACTGAAAGCTAAATGTGCACAGCACTGCACGGTATGCATGCAATCTGACATGATTTTGTATGCATAGAAACTACTTTTGACAAAGAATATAAATGGCTTTCAAACCAAAAACAGATGTTCAGTGTCACTCAGTGAAAAACATGTGACTTGTGATGCCATTTTCACTTGTTAGGTCAGCAAAGATCAAAAGTTTGAAACATGTTGTCAAAGTCGAATTTGGGAAAAGAGCCCAGGAGCTGTTGGGATGAGGCACTTCCTGCGTGGTTGACGGGCACACCCTCTTCAGAGGGCAATTTGTCAGATGCTCTTTCGGTTAGAGGTTCTACTGTTTGGAACTTACCCTGTAGCTATAACCTACAGCATTGCTTATAAAAAGACTGAAAACCAGACAACCATTTCTTAAAGGCTTACGATATATGTGCTGATATAGAACAATGTCCAGTATGTCATTAAATGAGAAGAAAAGTACAGTATATTGTTACTTCTTTGTAAAAATAAATAGGTGACAGGTGGTAAAAGAAATAAATAGATAGAAACTCACACTAATAAATGCAGAGAATTTCTCTAGGACAGGAGTGGGAAACGTTTTTTCTGCCAAGGTCCATGTGGATATTAATAACATCGTTCCCAGGCCATACAAATTTATCAACTTAAAAATTAGCCTGCTGTATTTGGTCAGACATTTAATTAACTCACCCCTAATGCCTTGGCAGGGCCAGACCAAGTGATTTCATGGGCCTTTTGCGGCCCACGGGCTGGACGTTCCCCACCTCTGCTCTAGGAGAACACAGGAACTGGCAGCAGGGGTTCCCTCTAAGGAGAACTGAGGACTCAGAGGGTCTGGAAGAGGAGGAGGAGGACTTTCGTTGAATAAGTTTGTTCTTTTTTATGAGCATTGGTTACCTTTTCAAAAATTAAAAGGTGTGTGCGTGTATATCCAGTAGAGATAGTGCCAACATGATGATATAAAACGATTGTGGACTTTGAAATTGGACAGATCTAGGTTCTAAGCTTCGGTCTGGTATTTACCAATTTGATAATTTACCCTCTCAGCCTATTTTATTGTTTGTAGAGGTGTCTGATAGCTATCTCCTGGGTTAAGGTGACACTTGAAAGAGCTTGTGCCCTGGCCAGGTGGCTCGGTTTATTGTTCTCTACTAGGAACTACTAGAACTTTAGAGTATCCCACACTAAAAACAGGTGGCAATTTGCTCTGCCCTTAACCAAATGTGCATTGAGACTTGACCACTGACCAGTTTGACATACATGGATAGTACAATATTTTTATTATGTATTAGGAAGTAATTTATATTAAGAATACTCATAAAGTAAGTTCAGTGCACTGACATTCTATTTTTAAATAGAGAACAGAGAAAAGGAAGAAATAGGGAGGAAGAGGGGGTAAGCTTCAGGATAAGGTTTGAAGATGAGCTGGAGACCTAGTTCTGACCAATATTTCAAATATGTGGAGAAGCACAGAGCCCCTGCCCTGCTCCTGCAGTAAATGATGCAAGACATGAAGTCACAGCTGCTTGAGCCTGCGGTGTACATTCTTTCCGTATCTGAGTGGGCAGGTGGCTCTTTCCATTTGCTGTGTCTTTATGAATGTGTGTTTATAAAAAAGTAATTACCTCACACATATACCATATGTTCAGATATATTTGAGGGCTGTCTCCAGTTTGGTATGTGTGATCACATTCCTGTCTTTTAATCTTGCCAAGTAGCAATCAAGCCTGCAGTAAATTCCAAGGACTCTAAATTCTAAGTCTTCTGCTCATTTAAAATGGGGTTTTGTGGAATCATGTAACTAAGAAAGACTGGTGACTAGTCTAAACTTAAGTTAGAGCTAGGAATACTTTAAGAACTTTGCCTGGAAAGGATAGTGCAGTGGTCGGCAAACTATGGCTCGCGAGCCACATGTGGCTCTTTGGCCCCTTGAGTGTGGTTCTTCCACAAAATACCACATGCGGGCGATTGAAACTTCGTGGCCCATGCGCAGAAGTCGGTATTTTGTGGAAGAGCCACGCTCGAGGGGTCAAAGAGCCGCATGTGCCTCGCGAGCCGCAGTTTGCCAACCACTGGGATAGTGGATTTTAGGTGATCCCTCCGAGGTGTAGTGTTGTGGCTTCTCAGGAGTTTCCTGGTGCTTTGCTTCGGATGGGATTGCCCTGTGTAGTGTAAGAATTTCCTGCGGGAGAAAGACACCTGTTGTCATGTTTCCATTTGAATCACTGCTATCAGGACTAAATACTGTTTTAGAGTCTATAACTTTTATAGTTAGAAGTTGGTTTTCTGGTTTCTTCTCATGAAACATGGTAAGCAGAATTCAGGTCCTGATGAATTGACAGCCAGCCAGTTCTTCCTAAAGCAAAGGCATACACCCAAGAACTCATTGAAGAACATAATTTCTCCCCAACATTTTTAATTCCATGTGCTATGTCTTTGTAATATGGTCCAGGGGTCTGATGAAATATTTTACTCATAAATGTCAGCTCTTCCCAAGCGAGCATCGTCCACAAGCATTGACTGTGTTACGAAGGCCAGAGCCGCTGTTTCTTAGAAGTGGAAGTTTTAATAGAGATTGTGTGGATATGCTAAGGATTGAACCAAAGGAAATCCAAATTATAGCTGATGTTTCAAGCAATGGTCAGTGCAGAGTTCTAGACCACAAGCTATTCGAGATAATGTGTCACTATAATAGGCTTCGGACCATTCCGTAAATAATCGGTGCCACAGGTTATTTAAGCACAATGTGAAGTTCTGTTACCCTGCAGAACCTAAACAGTAAAATAAACCACTTATGTTGGTAATCTTGTCATCCCCATCCCCCTTTCTCTGCAGGTGGACCATACCATAATAATGTACTTGATTGGACCAGATGGTGAATTTCTAGATTATTTTGGCCAGAACAAGAAGAATGCAGAAATAGCTGGTTCCATCGCTGCACACATGCGGGAGCACAGGAGGAGGAGCTAGCCAAAGCCGCTGCCCCTGCACTGTTCTCTACTGAAGAGGAAGGAGCTCTGTCTCCCATAGGAGACCGCTGACATATATGTGCAACCTGCAGGATGGCCTTCAAACCATGAGGACATCTATGTATTGGACAGGGCATGCCACCCTTGGAATCAGCCAGCGTGGATTCTTAGAACTTACAGGTTACAACCAAAAGTCTTCCAAATAGCACCGCAAGACTGAGGACCAAGTTAATATGAAGCCAGTAGAGTGGACCTCGGAGAAGGACACAGCCGAGAAGGAGGCATAGTCCGTGTGTTTCCGGCCGGGCTAGGGCCTGCTCAGTGTTGCTGCCTCTCCTTTGTCTTGGACCCCTGCTCATGCAGGTTGTGGGGCTGGATTCCCAGGGAGAGTATAATGTCCGCAGTGCTGTTGCTTCCCCTTTGAATCTGGTGGCTGATGAATTAGGCTCGCTGCCATTCGAAGTTGATCTTTACACTTGAAAGCTTATGTGGAGTCGTCCTTGTTAAGAAATATCACTGTCAGTTCTGCATTGCATTCCCTTCAGCAGGTGCTGGTCTGACTAATGAAGAGAGAATCTATTGTTTGGGGAAAACCATTAGATTTGTTTCTTTTGGGAACTTTTATGTGAATTTTAGCCAAATGATGTGCTAGGTTTTCAATTACACAGCAAATGGAAACCGAGTTCTTTTCTGCCTGTACTGATTGCTCTGTGTGAAATAAATGTGTTTTCAGTTTTGCAGCTTGGACAAGCGTGACCTTCCTCATGGGTGAAGAGCCAGAGCATAGATGGCAGCACACAGCTCAGGACAGACTCCCACAGACTGGAGGGGACGGGTGGGTGGTGCTGTAGTGCAGGTTCCCAGACCCCGAGCAGATTCACTGAGTCGGGTGGGATGTAGAGGCTGCGTTCATAACACATCTGAAGTGCTTCAAATGCTGTGGCCTGGGAACTGCCTTGAGAAAATGTGAGAGAACAAGTTTTGGACGAGGCGGAGTGAAGACTTGACCATCACTTTATGTGTCGATGGAAGTACACACAGCTGGCCCCTGCCGGTTTGGTTCAGTGGATATACTAGTAGAGCGTCGGCCTGTGGACCAAAGGGTTCGATTTCGGTCAAGGGCATGTACCTTGGTTGCAGGCTTCTCCCTGGCCCGCACCCTGGTCAGGGGCTCGTGCAGGTGGCAAGCAATCAAGTGTTTCTCTCTTTTTCCTTCTCTTCAACTCTTCCTAAAAATTTCAATGGAAAAATATCCTTGGTGAGGATTAAAAAAAAAAAAAAAAAAAGTACACACAACCAGGAAATGACTGTTGAATGATAGAATGAATTTTGGCCTTTTTTTGAATTTCACTTTTTCCACCTGTAGCTGCTGTATAAGGCAAAGTCCTCTGCACCTGTAGCTGCTGTATAGGGCAAAGTCCTCTGAAAGTTTTCAGATCCTACCACAGCAGGTATAGTGCCTAGTCACACCACAGATTCTCTGTGCACATCAGTTACTTTTTACAAGCACATGAAACAAGCCTATCTTTTGGGTTTTATATATCTTCTTAATACCTAATTAAACCTACTCTAAAGGCATGTCAAAATATGTGAAAAAGAAAAATCATGAACAGTGGTTATGGGCTGAATTGTGTCCCCCAAAATCCATACGTGGAAATCCTAACCGACCTCAGAATGTGACTGTATTTGGAGATGGAGGTCTTTAAAGGTGATGAAGTTAAAATGAGACTGTCAGGGTGGGCCCTCCTCCAGCCTGACTGATGTCCTCATCAGAGAAGATCAGGGCGCCCAGAGACCCTGTAAAGACAGGCCTCCAGAGGAAGCCTACCCTGCTGACACCTTGATCTCAGCCTTCTGCCTCCAGAACCGGGAGGAAGTACATGTCTAGTTGCAGCCCCTGGTCTCTGGTACTTCATTACGGCAGCCCTAGCAAACGAGCACAGTAGCCGTCCCTTCTTGGGGTGGGTTCCTTAGTAAACAGCTACAAGGTTGGAATGACTTTCCCAGAACCTTGTGAAGGTGAGGAACTTACTGAAAGGCTAGTCTCCTGTAACAAGATGCTAAGTGTCTAAAATGCCAGACATGTTAAAACATGGTCTGTTTTAAGCCACCAAACAGTTGTGTGGCTCACTTTGCAGCGTGCTTGCTCTAGATAAAATTGTCTTCATTCTCAGCTGTTGCAGGTTAGAGCTTGTGTAATGATCCAGAAAGGGAACAGCAGCTTTTGAAGAAACCTTTGATTTGCTCTTCATTCCAGTGTCAAGTTTAAAGGCTTAGGATTGAGATGTTAGAAGCAGGGAGAGGGGCCCCAGGGATGACGTCCAAATCTTGATACATGAGGAGACAATTCCAGAGGTGAAGGTGGTGCCCTTACTTCTGAACCTTGATTAGAATTTGGGTCCCAATTTCTAGTCAAGTCACTACTTGTTCCGCTGCTGTGGGGTGTTTATGGTGATACTAGTGGCTTGGTGCACGAAATTCATGCACAGGGGGCAGCGGGGGATGGGCATCCCTCAGCCCGGCCTGTAACCTCTCCAATCTGGGACCCCTCGGGGGATGTCCAACTGCCAGTTTACAATCCCTATGGGATCGGGTCTAAACTGGCAGTCCGACATCCCTCTCGCAATCCGAGACTGCTGGCTCCTAACCGCTCACCTGCCTGCCTGCCTGATCGCCTCTAACCACTCTGCCTGCCGGCCTGCTCACCCCCAACTGCCCCCCACCGGCCTTCTAGCCCCCAACTGCCCCCCTTGCCGACCGAATTGCCCCCAACTGCCCCCCCCCCCAGCTTTTGGGCCCCCAACTGCCCCCCCTTGCCAACCTGCTCGCCCCCAATTGCCCCTCCCCCTGCAGCCTGTTCACCCCCAACGGGCCCCCCCTCCCAGCCTGTTTGACCCCAACTGCCCCCCCCCCCCCCCCGCCAGCCTGATCACTCCTAACTGCCCTCTCCTCCTGGCCTGATTGCCCCTAACTGCCTCTGCCTCCGCCCTGCCACCATGGCTTTGTCCAGAAGGACATCCGGAAGGTCTCCCGGTCTAATTAGCATATTACCCTTTTATTAGTATAGATGAATCCAAAACGGGGTCTTGTGTCCCCGTGGGGCATCCTTTCAATTGTGAATCTTGGGAAATTGAAATCAAGGCTGCCTTTCAGCAAAGTATCACTTGCAGGTCTTTACCTGGGTGGGTTAGAGTGTGTTCTTTCATTGGACTCTTCAATGGAATTGACAAGAAATGCTGTTTATTTGAAAATCATAAGAATCCTGTCTGCAGTAAGCTCGGAAGTGCTTAATGCCCAGCTGTCCCTGAGGCAGCTGATACCTTAGGCGTGAGAGCGGAGATTCCAGTAAAAACGCACATGTGAGTTGGAGGCTAACATGAACTCATTAAAGTGATTTGAAATTGTCAAGCATCTGCATAAGATACAGTTTTAAATGTAAGGTTAGTTAAAGAAAATGTTTCAAATCACCCATAATCCCCCAAGTAACACTTTTTTTGCATACAGCACTATTTAAATTGTGTGTGTTACCTTTAAAAGAGCAGTCACACAAGCATTTTTTATCCTTTCAGCTTTTTTTTTTAACTCAGGTATGAATTACATCACTAATGACATTGGAGGTTATTCCCATTTATTAATGAGATGCAATGAACCTTTTCAGCCATGTGTTGTTTAATAACACCCTTAGAACTTAGGAGATAATTATTTTCTGTTCATTTAAAAAATGTATCTTGCCCTAACTGGTTTGGCTCAGTGGATAGAGCGTCAACCTGTGGACTGAAGGGTCCCAGGTTCGGTTCCGGTCAAGGGCATATACCTTGATTGCAGGCACATCCCCCAGTAGGGGGTGTGCAGGAGGCAGCTGATCGATGTTTCTCTTTCATCGATGTTTCTGATTCTCTATCCCTCTCCCTTCCTCTCCGTAAAAAGTCAATAAAAATATATATTTTTAAAAAAATGTATCTTAAAATTTATTGGTTCTTTCATAATTATAACAGATCCTCAGTAGAGAAAACTTGTACTATACATACAGAAAAGTCAGAAGAAGTTTTAAAATCACCACCAGGAAATATTTGGATGCATTTTCTTACCATCTGCAACATTTTAAAATATTTTATTGTACCAGAAATTCACAAATGTATTCCTTTAAAAAAATTAGACATGGCGGATCAAGCTCAAATCTCTTGCCCACCACTGCCCACTGCTATGCAGTGGTGGGTGGGTATCTCCAGAGTTTTAGATCTACTTAGGCTGGTTTTGGCTCAAATGATGAATACTAGGTTAAAAGTTTTATCACCGTGACTAGGGCAGATATTACTAGATTTTGTGTTTTTTTATTTTTTATTTTTTTAAAAATATATTTCTTTATTGATTCCAGAGAGGAAGGAAGAGGGAGAGAGAGATAGAAACATCAATGATGAGAGAGAATCATTGATCGGCTGCCTCCTGTATGCCCCCTACTGGGTCTCAAGCCCGCAACCCAGGCATGTGTCCTTGGCCAGAATTGAACCTGGGACCTTTCAGTCTGCAGGCCAACGCTCTATCCACTGAGCCAAACTGGCTAGGGCTATTACTAGTTTTTGTGGCTTATTTTTGTTATGTCTTTGTATATTTATATTACTGAGTGGTAAATATTGAAAGTAACCCGAAATAGTTCCCCTTCTCCCTTGCCAAGGTTTGGTAGTAGATTAACTTGATAAAAAAATTGCAAAGTAAACTTCAGTTGTCCCCTATCCCCACCACGGAGACACACCTGTTATTGAACAATGGTGTCATTTGGGGTATGTTGTTGGAAAAGCTTCCTTCAGTGAGAATGGCCATAAGGAGCTAGGAACCACACAGTCAGGATCCTCTGTCGGCAGAATGGGGGCTCTCCCTGCAGGCACTGGTGGTATGCAGGGTGCCCGCACAGTCTGCTCCCACCATCACCATCACTGCTTGCTCCTCAGGAACTCAGTGCACCGGAACCAGCCTGGTCTGAATCCCTGGCTTAGTAACTTCCCGAAGCCTCACTTGTCTTGCCCGCAACCTAGAACACTCACAGACTGTTGTCAGGGGTCTATTTGACATGAAGGCTCTGACGCACGTGCTCAGTAAGGGAGGGTCGCCGTTCTATTTGACGAGGGTGGTGGTTTGGAGCTTGCTTGACCAAGGCTGTGTCAAGAGGTGGGTTTGGTCATAAGTGTTTTCACTGTCCCTCCATCACGGTTCCCCTCCAGCCTGCCTTGTATGCTGATCTCTGGTCGCCTCCACGTTTTCTGCAGCCCCACCCCCATACACGTATCTAAGCCTGGAACTGTTTGGTCATCTTGCCTTAACTATTCAAATCTGCCTTCTCCTATGTAGAGAAAAGTTTCTTGAAAAGACATAAGGTTCAAACCAGAAACTTGGGCTTTTGATCTTGACCGAACATGAGGGCATGATTTCCTGGGAAGAGCAGGCAGCCTGGGGGGAGGGAGTGTTTCTAGGGGCCTGCTAGGCCGGAGGCCTCAGGAAGCCAGCTGATTTTCAAGTGAGTCCATTGAAGAGAGTGAGCTTCCTTCAGAGTTCTTGACAGATGCTCAGGGCAGAGTGCTGGGGGGCGGGGGGGGGCTGCTGCTCCGCCAGGCCATGGCCATTTCCATCGGGGATTGCTGCTTCCACAGAGGGGTGTCACGCCCACTTTGATGGAGGGACCTGTTGCTGTCCTTTGCGGCCCAGGTTCTCCTAGGGCTAGTGTCTGCTGCTCTGGGCATGGTTAGTT